AAAATGCGCATGATGGTGTGGAGGTGACGACTCTGAAGCTTGCCCGGGGTACTATGCATTCGGCAAGTCCTGCTAGATCCTCCAGCACGCCCGGTAGCTGGTCTTCTATTGAAGCGGGAAGCTTGGTGCGAAGTCCCGAGTCGATGACCGCCACTCCGGGATTACAAACGTTACAAGGCATCGGCGTCCTCGAATTATTAGAACGTGATGATAGGCCAACTTTCATCGTTGACAGCTTGAATACGGCTACCAGCAATCCTGATCCCCTTCCTATTCTCTATGCGAATCCGGCCCTTCAGGTCTCCGATACTATTCGGCATTTGCTTTCTGGGGAATTTCACGACAACGTGGAAGCGCGGGATGAGTTTCTTAATTTCAAGACGTGGGTAAACACAGGTGGTGGTAATAATACTGACGCGGTTGATGTTTTCTTGCCTTCGTTTCGCTATGGTGGTTTTGGTTGGACTTGCTCAACTATTAGGAATAGGTTCCGTTTTATCAGCGCGAATACCAGCGCAGCGTCGATTGCACTGGCCTCTCCCGAACCACCGTTGGAGCGAGAATCTAGTGTCGATTCGCAAAGTCACGGCTTGTCACCGCATGCTCAGGTTAAAACGCCTAGTGACATCGTACTTCCTGATCGAGATTACTTCGGACTTGCTAATCCCATCGATTCTGAAGATCAGATGCAGCAAGACGTAAGTAACGACGGTGAAAATAATTTGCCCTTATACAGCGATGATGGCCTAACCCCGGAAGCCATTCTACCACCTGTATTGCAGCATTCTTTCGACTGGACTCAGATACCTTTTACTGAGGATCTCCCGGAGCACATAAAGTTCACTCGCAATATCGACTGGGCATCAACGCCACTTGGTCCTATCGGAAGCTGGTCGTCAGAGTTACGCGCAATGGCGAATCTAGTTATGGCTAGCCCTAATCCCGCAGCAATGTACTGGGGTCCAGAATATACTACTATGTACAATGAGGCATATGTTGCATTAGCAGGTGCAAAACACCCGAAGCTTATGGGCCAAACCTATAAAGACGCTTGGGGCGAGCTCTGGCCCGATCTACAACCCATCCTGGAAAGTGCCTGGAAGTCGGGTCAAGCGACGATGAAAAATGACGATCGTCTTATTTTACGACGCAACGGTTTCGATGAAGAAACGTTCTTTTCATGGTCCATTGTGCCCCTTGTCGGTAGCAACGGCTCTGTTGTTGGATTATTTAACCCTTCTTTTGAAAATACTCGACGGAAAGTAGCTGAGAGAAGAATGATAACATTACGCGACGTGGGAGAGAAGACCGCCTTGGCTCGCGACGTCAAGAGCTTTTGGGGCCGGTTCAACGAAGGCCTTGAATCTAACGAAGATGATATACCATTTAGTCTGGTTTATTCGGTCACAGAAGAGTCTGAGAGCGATGTGTCGTCAATGCATTCGGGGAGCTGGGTGAACCCCCCTCTGTTGATGCTCGAGGCTTCTCTGGGGGTACCCCAAGGTCATCCCTTACTAGTCGAATCCCTCAATTTAAGGACGAGCAGCGAAGGTTTTGCCCCGTATATGCGAGAATCTATGTCAAACGCTGGACAGCCTATTGTCTTGTCTACAGGGGATAGCATGCTTCCCGAAGGTTTCATGAATGGGTTGGCCAGGAGAGGCAAAGGCGACGCGTGCAAGTCCATTGTTATATTCCCTGTCCACCCAACTACGGGCAGCGAGAGCGTGGTAGGTTTTATTGTGATGGGTGTTAATCCAAGGCGGCCTTACGACGAGGATTACAAGCTCTTCATTAATCTACTATCCCGGCAACTTGCAACCTCACTGGCGTCTGTCGTCCTGTTCGAAGAAGAGATACGTCGAGGCCAAAAAGCAGCACAAATGGCTGCCGCAGATCGTCAAGAATTGACCAAGCAGTTACATCTAAGGACGCAAGAAGTAGAGGAAAGCGAATTAAGATTTACAAGAATGGCCGAATTCGCTCCAGTTGGAATGTTCATCGCTGACCATTCAGGCCACATCACTTACTGCAATGATATGTGGTGGGATATATCAAGACATAATAGATCACAGGGCGTAGACTCGTGGATGGAGAGTGTTAAAGACGAGGACCGGCCTGCCCTAGAAATGATATGGCGCTGCCTACTTGCGGACAAAACTGCAATTACCCACGAATTCCGGTTTAAATGTTCCCGTCATGAAGGCGAAACCTTGATCGATACCTGGGTCTTGATGAGTGCGTATCCAGAAAAAAATGAAAATGGTGATATCAAGGGAATATTCGGGTGTGTTACGAACATATCGCAACAAAAATTAGCCGAACAGATTCAAATGCAGCGACGAGAGGAAGCAGTCGAACTTAAACGGCAGCAGGAGAATTTCATCGATATCACGAGTCACGAAATGCGCAACCCCCTCAGTGCGATCCTCCAATGTGCAGATGAAATCGCCGGGACCCTATTAAATCTTAAGCCGTCTGGAGAAAACGAGGAGCGAAGTGAAAATCTCAGGCTTGCGATAGAGGGTTGTATGGAAGCAGCGAATACCATAACACTCTGCGCCAGTCATCAGAAGCGAATAGTAGACGATATACTTACACTTTCCAAGTTGGACTCGCAATTACTGCTTGTGACTCCTGTAGAGGTGCAGCCTCTGGCTGTCGTACAACGCGTCCTGAAGATGTTTGAGAGCGAGCTCAGCACGAACGGTATCGAGTTGAAATTTCAAGTCAAGAATCGCTATATTGACATGGGTATCGAATGGGTTAAACTTGATCCTTCGCGGCTCCTCCAAGTACTGATCAACTTAATGACCAATGCTATCAAGTTCACGCAAAGCCGGCCCGAACGATCGATTGTGGTGACACTTGATGCTTCTAGTGAGGTATCAGACAGGTCCGACTCCGGCGTTGAGTATTTCCCTAGCGACCGTGCCGACAAGGACGAGATTACAGATCATGGGGATTGGGGCAACGGAGAGAAGATACATCTCCATTTCTCCGTTCAAGATACGGGCAGAGGCCTAGATGAACATGAAAGGAAGCTTCTTTTCCAGCGCTTCTCTCAGGCCACTCCCCGTACTCATGTCCAGTACGGTGGCTCAGGTTTGGGACTGTTCATCTCCAGAATTCTAACCGAGCTGCAAGGAGGCCAAATCGGCGTGACCTCGCAGAAGGGTATTGGCAGTACATTCTCTTTCTATATCCAGAGTAGAAAGATGTCCGGTCCGCCATCTGATGCGCATGGGCTACCGCCAGCTCCTCCTCTCACGCGAGCACCAGGGTCCTCAACGACGATCGAGACTCGACATCCCAAATTGGCTTCTTCCGAAAGCCTTGCTCGCACTGCCAAGAACATTGCTTCTAAACCTCGATTCTCGGAAGATGGCCGTCGCTTATTCGACGTTCTTATCGTCGAGGACAACCTCGTAAACCAGAAGGTGCTTCAGAGATCGCTTCGCAATGTTGGAAATAGCACTAAAGTAGCTAATCACGGTGGCGAAGCCTTGGAGGTGTTACAGGAGTCACGATATTGGACTGGAAAGGAAGAGTCTGGGCACGATATTTCGGTCATATTGATGGATCTTGAGATGCCAGTAATGGACGGTATGACTTGCGCTCGCAAAATTCGGGAACTCGAAAGGAACGGAACGATCGTTAGCCATATTCCTATCATCGCCGTCACAGCGTACGCACGGCCAGAGCAAATTGAGAACGCTAAGGCCGCAGGAGTTGTACGTGTTTTCTATTAAAGTATTCCATTAAGGCTAAGTTACTAACTATCGACACAGGACGATGTCATTTCTAAACCTTTCCGCATGCCCGAACTCATACCGAGGATAGAGCAATTAGTCGCAATTCACACGCCGTATTATGCCGAAGTTACGGCAGCGTAATGAACCCGAACTTCTCCGATCCGAGAATCGAATCCCGAACATATAATTATTCAAAGATTACTTTTTAAACCGTAACCATAATTATTAGCTTGCAATTCATTCTACGTTTCATCCATCCCGCAAGGCGTTTGGCTCCATCCAACTAGGTGGAAGGCTTGTTTATTTTATTTTTTATAAATCATGACAAGGACAGAGATCATCATAAAAGTTCGGGAGGGGTTTGTTGATGTTATATTCTTTTTTCGAATTTAACTTGATTTAAGTATTTATTCATCATCTAGCCCCAACACAGCAGCTCGGGCCGGCAGATTTTTATATTTTTTACTTGTTGACATTTTATATTTTTTTATATTCTCGCATTACATATAGATGTAAGAGAGGCGTTCATGGGCGAACACGGAGGGGACGCATATACACGAAGATTTGGTTTAGCATACGGGGCGCGTTTATTTACCCCTAAGGTCCAAATTTCTTTTTTGGATCACGTATTTTTATTTTTATTTTTATTTTATTATTATTATTTTTCTTTATTATACCGTGTTACTACTCACGGGGGAGGGTGTTAACTTCGCTTCGAGACACTGAGATTGTTGGCGGTGGTTATGAATGGCCCCGTGATGATGACGACGATGGGAAGATGAGATGAGATGAGGTAGGTTATGGACGGGGACGGGGACGGGATATGAAGTCATGTTACACTTACATAGATACCTTATATCCTGGGATCTGCCTGCTCGCGCACACATATATGTAGTAATCGAAATCAGTGAAATTATGAATCACAAATTGATAATATATGATATGTCTTTGCCTTGAGAACGGTCGTGATGGTGAATGGGCTGGTTTACTTTATATGAGAGGAGTAGGGGGGAAAGGAGTGAAGTAGTAGGGGGGGACAACTAAAATAGAATTATATAAAAGCACAAATTTTGTTTAAAAAAGACCTCGCACCGCCTGACTTTATCTTAGATGACATGGTAGATAGGTGGTACAAAAATCAGCAAGACTCAAATGTTAAGATTGTATATATTTACCCAGGTAGGTAGGCGTGCACTATAGACATGCTCCCGAGATACCACCAGGCCTAACCCCCTTTTCCACATCTCATACCTCCACCTCCCAGATCTCCAAACCAACGCCGACTACTATCACCTTTTTCTTACCCTTACCCTTATCCGTTTCATTTCCCTCTCCATCCCCATCCCAACCCCCAAAGACATCCAAGTCCCCCGCATCAGCAACAGAGCTATACCGCTCATCCAACAACTGCGCCCTCGCCTGCTGCTGCTGCTGCTGCCACCCAAGCAGCCGCCAGATCTTAACGCGCTGGTCATTACTCCCCGTGACGACGAGCGCGCTGTCTTCTCCTACGTGCGCGAACGCCACGCCTGTGATAGCTGCGGCGTGTGCGGAGCGGACGAGGGATTTGCTCTTGATTGTGATGGTTGTTGCGCCTCGTCGAGATTCAGAAGAAGAAGCAGAGGAAATAGGGGTGGGAGAGACACGGATATGTGTAACGCCTAGCGCGTTGTCGTCGCCGCCTGTTACAATGAGGTATTCCGAAGCCCCATCGTCTTGGATAAATACTTGCCGCACGTCGAGGGACTTGACGGTGTTCTGGTGCAGTTTTGTGACGGTAAGTGCGGCGTCGGGATCGCCCGGGCTTCGACCCTCAGCTTCGGGGTTCGTTGTGGAGTAGATGGCTAAATATCCATCCGTGGCCGCAGTCAAGACATGGTTGCTGTCTAATTGACGTACTTGCGTAAGACACGCTCCCGTATACGTTGACCTTCTTAGTAAACGGAACCCTGATACACGGTTGTAGGTATACGTCTGTAGCGTTGAGTTCGATAGGACCATAGATATGGCAAACTCATATCCGCCATTACTATCGCGTGCGGTGCAAGTCACGTCAAAATCAGTAATGCGGGCATCTCCTACTTCAGTTCGATCAGGGAACACGGCTTCGCATACAACGGCAAGCCCGCTAAAGTTGCTACATTGGAGCCGGTTGATCTTCCATACAAAGAATTCCTCGTTACCGCCGCTACTAAATAAGTACTCATTTTTGTACCATTTTAGGGCTTGAATACCCGTAGCGTGCCTCTCTAGAGCCGCGATGCAACGCAGCCTAGGGTCATTGTTGTTTTGTTCGTTATACTGATAGTCGTAATCGTTATATTCCCATATCCGTATCACAGTGTCTTCGGCGGCCGTAGCAATGTAGCGCCCTGTAGAGGCGCTCACCGCCTTAATTTCACGACCGTGGCCCCCTGGCTTGAGCGTCTTGTGTGGTGCACATGTCTGCGAAAAGATGTGCATCTGCCCCGCCTTGGTAAATACAAATCGAAATCCATCATGCCGGTATCTCAAGGGAGTCCAAGCGTAGCTCCGTGAGGAGCCTCCGCAATCGACTATGGCGACCTCGTGACGCTGGGTTTCGTTCCAGACCACCAGGTTACTACTCCGAAAACCGCAGAGCATAAGATCCTTGGTCCCATCGCCGTTATCGGAGAACCAAGCCCCCTCGATAGATGACACAAACGGTGGTAATATCTCGTGAATCAGTATGGCGTTGGGTTGGCTACCTGTTGTTGGGATTTCATGGATCCTGTATCTTCCATCACGACACGTGCTCAAGATGTAGTTGTGTGGTTGGTCATCGCCATTGCTAAGGGGGAGTAACGAGGTGATTGCTTCATCTCTCTGTACCTCGATTGTAATAATGGCGGAATATTTGCCGCTGTCGCCTTGTTTAAGGACAACGATGACTCCTTTCCTAGACCCAAGAACAAGATACCCCTGAGCGAATGTAGCAGCGGTAACCATAAAACCTGGTTCTAAAGCTACTTCGGTGTGCTTTAGCGCCGAATTATGAGGATCAAATTGTATGAGGGCAGCATTGGTACTGCGCAGAACAGTAACGAGAAAATCCACATGACTATTACCGGTCCTTGTTCTGGCATCAGATAGGCAGAAGATATCCGCTATCTTCCCATTTACTTTAGTCATTAGTTGAAGAGATGCACCCCCCGATTCTCCATAATAGTAAATTTCACCATTATTCGTGCCAACGAGAGCTATATGATTAGTTGTGGGTGCTCCGAGGAGAGGATGTGAGAAGACTATCTGGCCAATCTCGTTAGGGAGAGTTAGCTCTGTCCACGCGAGCCCATCTTCAAAAACACCAACAAATACCCGGCCTGAATTTGTGGCAGCAAGAAGTCGACTGTCGGAGATGAATGTATAACGGTTGAACCCTTCTTTTGCATTTTTGGGTTTGGTGCCCTGCGAAGGCAAGGCTAAACTGGTCGAAACGCCATTTGAATTCTCGGGGTTAGCTGTCCCATAATTTGCTTGGGAAGACCGTATTACATCTGAGAGAGACCACGTAACACTTTTCCTCTCATCCAATACTCTACTGGTGGACTTTACTTGGTCACTGCCTATCATCCCTGGAGATAGAGATTCTACGCCAGCTCCCATTAGAGCAATCTTTCCATCGGCACCGCCGGTTGCAATGAGGAGATCCTCACCATTGGATGTCATAGCGTGAGACCAAATATGTTTTCCACTATGATTTGAGGCAGTAGACTGGTGAGTTAACCTAGCGGGCTTAATGGAAGAACCAGAGACGTCGAGCCCCTGGACTTGTGTGTCTAAAGAGAGTTTCCATTTCTGTGCCGTGGCATCTTCACCAAATGAGTAAAGTTCAACGATATTGGAGGTCTTGGATAACGGTTGGATTTGTGGAAATTCGACCTGCCATATCCTTGACGCATGTCCCATGACCGTAGCTAAGCATCTTGTCAACTGGTTGTCGTGAGCTGTGTCCTCAGCATTATATCCGAATCCCGTCTCACGCGCTTCCGAGATACGATCTCCATACCCGTTCTGGCCTTGGTGTCCGGACTTCCCGCGTCTTTCAGTAATATCCCAGACTCGAATAGTCCTATCATCACTACAGCTTGCCAGTAGTCTTAGTGTCTCTCCCTGCGAAGTTTGAATCTCAGGGGAAATATGGACTCCGAAGATTGAACCTTCATGACCGGTAAATACGGAGAGGACCTCGCAGTTCTGCTTCTGTTCAATATTTTCGAGGTAGCATTTCCAGACAATGATCTCTCCAAATACAGTTCCAGCGGCCACGAGTACGTACTCCTTTGACACCCAAAAGAAGTTACCCGAATATAAAATGGGCCTCGAAGGTGACTGGATACTATTGAAAATAAGAGAACTCTGGTTTTGGTCTACATGAGCCTGGATAACTTCGTTATGGGCGGTAAGTAGCACAATACGACCGTCTCCAAAGGGCGAGATCCTCCCGTCGAAAATCCAATCTGGCGCCCTGGCTTCCACATTTTTTGACAAATCCAGCCTACTAGCATGGCCTTGAATAATACCTTCAATTATGTCATTAGATATAACCTTGACATGGTGCCCGCCCCAGATCAGGATCAGATGAGGCTGCTTAGATTCATCTAGCGACGGCACAGAGATTCCGTGGATGGACTGAGCCTGGAATATAGGTAGCTGGCCGCAAAAGTAAGAGGTTTGAACATGGTATATCTTGATATCCGTGTCTTCCCCAGCTAAGAGGTATTGTTGTCCATTATTATGTGACGTATAAAAGGCCAGGGCCGTAATAGGATTCAGCACATGTTCCCTGTAGAGGTTGCCGAGAGCAGCCAGCTATATTTATTTAGGGGTTAGTATGTGGGTATGTATATTTAAAGTGATATAAAAAATGTAATGTATAGACAGGTGATGTACATAAAAACATTATAAATGGGTAAGAACAATTGGATTTGTATTTACCTCGCGAGACATCAGGTTCGATTACTCGTTGTGATTTCCATGTGTGACTGAATTAATGAATGAATAATAAGAGAGACTAGAGGTTAAATTTTAGCTTAGGTTTTTGCACCAGACGTGGATAAAGCTAAACCCACTTTACATAATATTTACTTTAATTGCATTTATATTAAATTTATTTATTAACTAGGTAACTAAAGGAAAGTTGAAGTTGGATATTTCCACGCATAATAAGAAAGTATTAGTTGCGCAACACCGACCAAAACACTTAAAAGACCAAAAAGGGCAGCAAAGAATAAACCTGCGATCGCCACAGTTAAAGCATTCCTTTCTGATGTATGCCTTTCTATCCAAGAAATAACTGTATTTGTAGGCGGTGGATTCGCTACAACATCTTCCAACCGCTGTAATCGTTTTCCCCAAAAGGCCAGCTCGAATGGTTCCGACGTAGGATGAATAACACCAGGATCCAGCATCAAACTATCGTCGAAGCGTCCATTCTGTTCATTAACTAATTGCCTAGTGAACTTGGCTGATTTTTCATCGAGAGGGAATAAAATCCGATAGATCGAATATAATGTCTCGCGCAGAATCCGTGGCGGTAGGATACCCCTGTGAACACATTAGCCTCATTCAAGACACTTCCCATCAGCAATACCTTTCTATATATTCTTTATCCGTTATCATACCACTACACTCGGCCGCATGCCTCAGCTGGGCTTTCAACCAAGCAACTTGATGGAACACAGTCAAGGTCCTACTTCTAGGATCATATAGCAAGTGCTGGATCAGGTCATTTGTTGGCACAATGGATACTCCATGCCGCTTTTTGAGCTTCCAGGCTTTGAGCTTGTTGTGAGTCTCCGTAACGCGGTATACCGAAGGAGGAAAAGTAGCTTGGATGAAGTCAACCAAGCTCTGATCGTCTTTCCAATTCACAGGGAAAGTATCCCCGAAACGAAGTTGGAAGTCATCGGAAAAACTCTTGTAGGACGCCGTATCTAACATAAAGGCAACTTTTACGAGCGTTCTTAAAGATTGTTCCTGCTTATCTTTGGGAATACCGGGGAATAACTGCCCAATGAGGATCTCCTTAGATGTTCCACATTGCGATCTCAATATTGAGATTGCTTTAATAACGTCTATAGATGATGCCAAGGGGTGCGTGAAAGAATTAGTAAGTGTATTACTGGGAAATAAGTCGGCACATAAAGTATTGCAATAAAACCGAAAGAAGGCATAGAATTGATCATGGGATGATTCGGGGCTGTGACAAAGAGTCTCGATAATATCCTTATCGATCCGCAACGCTGGTGGGATACAGTTGATGTTCATCGTAGCGGCCTCAAAATTCCAATTGGTGGTAGAAAATATGAAGAGGCGGCGGCGAACGAAGGTCGCTTCAATAACAGCGTGAAATTCAACGGGTTATACAAGAGAAATCCGCCCCCAACTCCTGTCATCTTAGTGCTGAGAGCCAAGACTTGATTTGATGCAGCAAGAACAAAACCGCCTACCACTACACCAATCAATTATTCCGTATGGAAGAATGCCATAGGTTGACTACGCGGTTGAGGCTGAGGCAGCCTGCATGGTAGTGACAGATATAATATGTCACTAAATACAATTATCATTAGAATATATCCCATTTCTACCATTCCTTATCAATATATATCATAAACACCTAGAAGACATATATTATACCCTTATTATTTTTACCCCTTAGGTTTACCATCATCAATCGCGATGCCTTTTTATCCTGGGCGAGGTCGGACGATCCAAGATATCAATGAAATTTATAATGAGCTTGCACAACTTAGCAGGCCGACTCCGAAGGTCGAGACGGACCAGGATCAAGATATTGAAATCGAAGAACCCAGACAGCGTACAAATAAAGAAGGAAGCAGGTGGTGGAATATCATCACTGGACTCTACGAAGGCATCACGCAGCAATCCGAGGGATGTAGACTACCCAGAGGTAATGACCTGGAAATAAAACCACACCTACAACGATGTCTACGCATATGCTAAATTGGTCTAGCCGCGTCGAGTGAGTGTGTGAAGCGCTGCCCTGAAGCCTTCCGAAACCCTTTAATGATACCATACATCAAAAGTCCGGGTCCGATCTATGTCTATCCGCATGCCGAGGAATATATCGATACTGTACATCTTGACAGATTTGAGGCAGTCGTTAATATATTCAGACACTCGCTCGAGCAGAACCGTAAATTGTCAACGGCGAGAGATTGGATGGAGAAGATATCATACAGCCTTGCCATGTGCGGCACAGACGTGGCTAGTGCTAAAGCTTCGATAGTCGTCTCGTGTCCTAGTGGTAATGATAAAATGGTGAGACAAGTTATGATGGCTCTCTCCCAGGAACATATTCTTGACCAATACGCACATGGGCATACCGAAGTGTCCTACCAGTTATATATCTGGAGAGAAGCATTTAAATACGTCGGTGGGACGGGGGATTTTGTTGACATCCACTTCAATAGTGGGTATTCTCTGTGTGGTTCTCCAGTCACCGACGTTTCGGAGGGAGTTCGTCTCTCTACAGTCACCTGCATCATCAAGATAGAGTCCGAGTTCTTTGCGCTCACTTCGGCTCATCCTTTCGAATCCGAAGAGGGACCGCAAGATGACCTCGAGACTCTAAAAGATACGGAGTCTGATCCCATAATAATTGGTGGTGTTGAATATGATTTTACTGAGACGCCATCGCCTCAGTCTAGAGATGCAACTAGTACCGACGCCAAACACTCATCGCATACCTTTGAGTATAAGCAACGGCTATTTCGCCGCCCCGTGATTAGTTCATCGCTATCGAGTCTAAGATGCGTACCAGGTCAGCCTAATCTGGACTGGTCTCTTCTGAAGTTGCAAGATGTGAAGAACATGGAACTGAACTCAGTCCAAATAATGGGACCGCAACAAGTCGAAAAGACTCACTATATTGGCACCGAGCCAAGAACCAGACCGTCTAAGCAACGTCATGTCCGAATTATCACGTCACACTGCACAGAGTCTAAAGGAACAATCAGCCCAATCCCTACCTATATATCCAATCAGAGAGACAGCCATGGTCTCTGCGAAGTCTGGACTGTCTCGCTAACCCATGGACGAGGTATGAACAATCTTCCACAATATGAATATCGGGGCTAACAAAACTTCAAGGACTTGAGATCGGCGATTCCGGGTCCCTAGTGGTAGACGAAGAAACATACGAGGCATACGGCCATGTTATCGCGGTCGATCCCATGGGTAGAATATTCGTCATCCCGCTTGTCAATACCCTGAGCCAAATAAAAGGGTTATTTGGAACTACGGATGTAGATCTTTTCTCGAAGGACTGGACTATGCTTCCATCTCGGCCTTGTACACCCCCCAACCCATATGATTCAACGGGCTGGGATAAACTTGGATTTTCGGATGTCTTCTTGTAATATAGAAATCCAGTAAAGTATGGCAGGACGAGGATTAGAATGGGGGGTAGAGATGGTAGGTGGAATGTGTAGCTAGCTATTGAGTAAACCACAACGGTTCTGGAGTCTTGCATACTTAGGTAGGTTGGGTATAAACTAGTAACTAACACATATTATCGAGCGGCATCCTCTCTTTCTACCCAGCTATATTATCGATAAATCAATTAAAGCAACCATAAGTCAAGGTCCGCTAGCAAATTAAGAAACATTCGATGGATTGCTTCCTCAACTTTCAGCCCCTTTGAGAAGTCGAGTATATCTACCTCTTATTATCCTCATACGGGAATTAGGCCTCTGCTGTGGGTCTCAAAGTTAACCAAAAAGCTGACCGTGCCTTATTATAGAAACCCACGTGTATACCACATGTTCCAACGGTAAGGTCTGCTCTATGGTTCTTGGAGCCCGTTCTTTGGGCCATCAGCATGGAGCATCTACTATATCTCGCACCTCATTTGTGCCACGTGCTCTAAGCTCCAGCTCTACTACACCGCTCGGTCCTAAATAGGCCAGCAACATATGTACACGTTGAGTTAGTTTTGGTAGTTAATAATGGAAGGCTATTCACGATATATTCACCAGGAGCAACAGTATATCAGATTTATGTTCCAAAAGGGAAAGAGTATCTTTAATAAATAGGTACGTAGGATATTTAGGTCATTATATTCCGAATTGATATCATAATAATTCGCAATCTTCCCATCATGGGAAGCCATCCTATCTACCCCACACGCAGGTATCTCTAATAGCTTTTATAGATACCGCAATCATCCAGTCTTGTCATACCCAGGCCCAAACGCCAGCAGAACGCAAAAATTACAGATCTGTAACCATTCATTTCATTGTAGATTGACTGATATTCTCCGTATTTAACGGGCGTGAGAGTAGGGCTCGTAGGCCAGATCCGAGCGGGCACCACCACGCTGCGGGGCACCGTAGTTGTATCCGGAGTTGCGGTTTTCACCGAGCGGCGCGTATGAGCCATTGGGAATGAACTTCTCACCCTCGGCACCGTGTCCCGATCGTCGGTTGTAGGGACGGTTCTCGGGCTTGCAGCAGCAGATGGAGAAGAGCCAGAAGAAGCTAGCACCGAGCGCGAAAGCAACACCAATCCAGACGCAAGCCAAGAAGTTGTTGTTCCAGCTGGCGTCTCCACCGTATTTCGACGTGGCGCCCTTCGTTACACCGACCACGATAACAGCTAGCGCAGTCATCATAGATGCAGCAGCGATAACGAAGGCAGTAGCAATACCAGAAATGACCCAAGTTAGGCATGAGACCAGGCGAGAGCAGGCGGTGAACAGACCAACGACTAACTCCAGACCAAGGCCAATCATAGCAATGACGTAGACAACCTCGGTCCACTTGATGAGGGTCTTGAAAGTGCTCAAGGTGTCGTTCACCTCATCGGGAATGGTGATGTTAGCACCACCAAGCTGATTGCCAAATTCATCAACCCACGAGGTGTTGAGATCCTCTTCAGCCCAGTTGAACTTGGCCTTAGTGCAGTTCTTGGCACCGTCGGATGTTGTGGAACAGTAGTTCCATAGAGTAAACTGGTAGATCTTATCGATACCGAGTTCAGCGGCGGTGATGTTGTCACCGGAACCGGTAAGACTGCTGACGATGCTGGAGATATCTGAGGTATCTTGCGGGGCTGGAGAGCGGGTGTTGTGCTGATTCAAGGGATTATGAACATTTTGGCTAATAGCCTTTTGGCCGCTGTTTACAGCTTCGTCAACCTGATCCGAGATGCTTGCGGCGGTAATGTTGCCGATGAGGCTTTGAAGGGTTTCGGCATCGATAGTAACGTTCCTAGTATCGATTTCGAAAATGAATAGACCGTTGTTGGTGACACCGGTGAGACCAGCAATCAGCATAGAAATGATGCTGCCTACTGTCAATATGAATGGCAGAGCCACGCAGACATATCTTCCAACACCCATGATGTTATACCAGTCTTATGTGCGACCGAAGAGGAATATAATTATTTTACGGTTGTTGTAGTTTTTTTTAACGAGTGCAGACTGTTTGACTTAAACGAAGGTAGGTACCTAAGGTTGTTATATGGGTTTGATGGTTTGATGGCTTGATAAAATAATCGATGGAAAATTGACGACTGACCCAGCAACGGCAAGCGACAATAAATAAAGATGTAACAGTGAAACAGTGATACGTGAACAAAGATGCACCGAAAAAGAATATGTAAGGTGCGTAAGACGGTTGTATTTATTACGCATGGGAGGGACGATCAGTAGGACTTGACTGGACTGACTTGACTGACTGATCAAATCTAAGCAAGCGTGGCGCAGCTTCGGGCTACACAACCCAGCCCTCCGGCCCTTCTAACATGGCAGCATGGCGGGGGGGACCCTTTCAAGTCGACGTCAGCCCATCACTAAAAAAGTTGTCTAGGGGATGCTCAGCCCCGCTGTAAAATACGCCAATGAGACGGGATGGCACCCCACTAGAAAAAAAAAAACAAGTGACATTTAGTAACCCGTATTGCCGTAACACCACAGCCTGAAAAAGAGCCCGTGAGTTAAGATATGGAACGGTTTGTCTAATACCCGATGTACAATAGTACCTAACCTACCTTACCTAAGGCGAGACATGTATGTAGCAAGATCATGAACTTTTAGTAAAAATCATTCCCTAACGTTTATGCCCAACATTTTTCATTAGGATGATTTTGACTACCTACCTAAGTACACTACTAAAGCACCTCAGAAGCACCAGTAATGCAACCAGTGATGCAGTTTCACACAAGACAAGGCATGAATGCAGCAGCTGAAATAGAACAACTACGCTAATATTTCGCTACACAAGACCAGTTAGGCAAATCACAATTCCGGACTGGGAGATTGACTAGGGGCCCCAGCAAACTTCAAACTCCTGCAGATACGCTGTATTTATTGTTAACTACGACTCTATCACATACATCATACATAGAGGTTGCATGTAGCCCCCCGGTAGTCCGGCAAGAGCTAAGATACGCTGTATTCAAAAGTGAAAGAAAACAAACCAAAGGTCTACTGTAACATTTCGTTTGTCTGCCGCAGCAATCAAACACAGCTTGTGCAGCTTTACATGGTGACACGAATGAAACAAAAAAGAGGAGATACAGAGGCATAAAGTGGACGGGCCGCGTAGAGTCGAGAAAGCTCTTAGTTGGAAATATTGATCAGCATGTGGCTAGTGGTCCTCATGAAGATCGATTAGGTATTTAGATTAGGTATGTTGTTGCGTGCGTCCCGCGTGTTCGAATACGTGGGCGTTGTGGCGTTAATGCACAAGGTTCCCGTGAGGCGATGCCCTTGACGCGTCTTTTATCTCTCCACCATACCTTAGCGACTTGGGGGGGGTAGCAGTAGCTGCATATATACCGCTTATTAAATATAGCCGTATTTATCCCATTCAATTTAGGAAGCCGCTTCCGATTTTTACGTTTAAAAGATTAAGTGACTTAAATATTTAAGTGGTAATATTACCGCTTACGGTTTAAACGCATTGATTTTTTTTAAACGTTAGGCTAAAATGAGCCGTATGTATGCGGTTCTGACCAATGAGCGGCTTCTACGCCCCTTACACCTTTTGCGCCGCTCCCGATTTGAGCGGCTCCCCGTTTTAAGCGGCTCTTCTGTTTTGAGTGGTACGTACAGGGTATTATTACATATATTTTTGGCCGCACAGACCCCTTATACCCTATAATTACAAATCTACACGCGTGCCTGTAATATGTAACGTAGTTTATTTAAAAAACACGTAACCTTCCAATTAAATCAATCGTATACCGTAACCTGTAATTATATTTATAACCATAAAAAAATAAAAAAATAAAAAAATAAAAATAGAATAAAAAATAAAAAAGTAGATTCCCATACAAAAATGTATAGGAATATACCTTTTAATCTTTTTTATATATGCACTTACCCGAAACGGCTCCCAATTGGGAGCGGCGCAAAAAGTATGAGGGGCGCAGGAGCCGCTCATTGGCTGGAGCCGCTTACAGTGAGGGAGCCGCGCAGCACTTGTACCGCTCAAAAAAAATTAATTGGCTCAAAACGCCGATACGTATGAATTTAGTGAGCTTCACGTTTTTCACTAACATTTGGGAGCGGCTCATACCTGGGAGCCGTATATATACTGTATATATACGGCTACCACTACCCCCCATCTGACGCTAAGGTACTAAGACGATATATAGACAAGACACATGAGTATGGCGATGTTTTAAAAGCTTCAAAAGTGTAGAGAAGGCTTTTACTGTTGCGAGTTGAAAATCCGGAAGAGATGATGTGATGGTCTAGATCATAGATTTTAATAACATAGCGACAAATAAGGATGGTGTCGTTGAAGATGGAAACTAGGAGGATTGAAAGGGGGATTTCAAAGTCCAACATAATTGAAACCGGTGCGAAAGGCTATTATCAGCCGAACCATTTACCTGCCAGCTCTTTAAATGTGGCTGGGCTGGTTAGTGGGACTTGGCGGGGTGCTACTAGTCCCGCTAGGGTAGGTCGCGGGGCAGATCTTGAGGGGATCCTAAAAATAGTAGGAAGCTTGGAAAGTCCACTTGTGGCTAACTAGCAGGCAATACGTAAGGTAGGTACCTTTCTCTTAAACCCTGTCTAAACCCCATTCATGCGTTCAGCGTTGAGGCAAGCAAACAAATTCTCCCAAGCAGCCAAATTTTATATAAGAGGTAATCCCTTTTATGTTATCGGTTTCCGGACCCGAGAAAGGAGCTTAAGTCGGAGATACGCACCTTCTCAGCCCTACCCGTTATGGTTAAAAGGTAGAAGAGTTCTAGAATCTCGGTCTCGAACCTTGCCCGATCCGGAATACACCGATGGACCGGGTCACATCGGAGCCGTTTGCGGATATGGGTGATGATATTAGCAAACTTACCTCTCAGAAGGACGTCCAAAAAGGTGGCGCACCTAGGCGCGCCAGTTATCTTGACATCTTTATGCCTCTTCGCTATAATTCATTATCCGTCGGTGAGGTCCTTAATATAGGAGCTGTCAGGCTGTTAGACTGTGTGATACTTAGTCGCCCTACCCGATAATCCAATCAACATTTTCCAAAGGATCTAACAGCTGCCGCGATGGTCTGATGATGGGAGACGTAGAAGAAGCGAGACATTGGCTCGTTGAGAGCGGTAGGGCTTATGATGTTGTTAAACATGAAATAGTACTACCTCGACACCGCCATGCACTATCAATGTCTGAAGACTTATCCTCCCGTTGCCGGAGTAGTTTACACCGAAGGCATGATGAATTGTCCGGTTCCTTGCCGTCGAGTTGTCGCGTGCATACTAGTGGCACATAAAAGATGGTTGAAATTCGGTTTGAGCGGCAGGTTGATGTATTCTTATAGTATTATACTGCGTACGATATAGGCGTCTAATAACTTTGTGACACGCGGGACAACTTAACGCAACGAATTCCTACTGGATCATTTACTTATCTACTTAAAGGGATACCTAATATGTCTTACTTACCTAGGAGGTATTCTTGGCTAATAAATCTAGACTTGCTAGAAGACCTGGCGTGTATGCAGTTGCCACGATACCGGTATTAATTGCAGTGTCAAGCTTTTCAGTAGACTCCAATAGAAACGACAGCCGAAGTTAGAATGATAAGTGCCAAGTAAGCAGACCTGACAAGCAGAAGCCAAGACGGCCGAAAAGACTACGATGGCTGCTTGTGATGCAGCGATGCAACTGATGTTACCGGGTTGCCTATAGTCGCCACCGCCAAGGATCGTGATGTCGATGTTTACTTGGGTACCGCTAGAGCTTGAAGAGATACGAACTTTTGGGTTATATATGCAAATGGGAATGGTCAGCAACTAGGTAGAAACGGAGCATGGATGATTAAGGTGACTGTACCTATCGGACATCGAGAATCAACTGCCACTGTCCGGTTTAGGCAATACAAATCAAAGTAACGAACAAAAGCCGGGCTCGAAAGATGAGATCTTTGCAGTAGGTGCCATCGCGTTGCCTGATCGACGGGATTGTCAGTTTCTTATTGGAAGTTTAGTAAATTTTACTAGATTGCTCCCGTCTGCATGTCACCTTGATCTACTTGAAATGCCCGCTCTATCGTTCCATTCGAAGCTGTTCGTCCGCAAATATCATTATATCCTAAGAAGGGTTTGGGCACCATATACGACCATTATATGTAAAGGTGTAAACGGTAGGGAGGGGTGGAAGGAAACCTGACCTCCTACCGTACCTGGCAGGCTGGTCGTCGAGTCGGACGTATTATCATGGACATTGACCAATTTAACCCCACACTGACAATTTATTATTATATTTTCGTCGTAAATGAGCCGAGTATTGATAGACGACTAGTCAACCAACAGCACCAAGCTTTTTCTTTGTTACCAGTAGGACAAGGGAATCCACCCTTATACATAGAGTTGGGTAACCTTTGGACGACTTGGACAACTTGACTCGAGCCGGAACGAAGGAGCCCCGCCAAAAATTATATAGCGGTCTGGAAGGTACTTCCTTCCACTAAACTCGCTGCAAGGTGTTCCGCCGCCCCAGTCGGACGGCATCGCGGACTATTCGAAGTGGAAGTAGCGGCTCCCCACTAAGAAATAATATATGGTAGGAGGTAGCATCAAATAATAGAAGTAAATCAAGTAACCACCTTAAGGTAGTCACCATATGATATAGACACTTGGGCATTTTATCAAATAATAATTTGTCTAACGTCGACTGCAACTTCCCCTAAACTTCCTTTTCGTTTATTTAGTACGTCTGAACAATTTACAATCTTAACGCGTTCGCATAGCTCTTTCTCTTTTTTTTTTCTCTCTATTCCTCCTCCTCCTCCTTCTTTTTCTTCTTCTCTTCAACCTCATTCATCATTCACCCCTTCTTCCAACTTATCACGAAGCCCAAAATTCCAACGTGCTGCATCCATTGTCCGACTTTGATCCAACCGGCTTGCTCCTTTGAAAGCATACAACCGGAACCTCCCCTAAATAAAGCCACATTTCTAATTCCAAATCGTGCATAGCGACCGTCAGGCCAATATAGCCCGACACCTGTCGTCACCCACGGACCTTGGAACCGTTTTGACAAGTATAGCGGGACGTGCCCCTCGTCCTACGCACACACGCTCGTCGCGCGCACAGAAAATAAAAAACGAACCTTGCCTTGCGACCTTGGCGACCTTGCGCATAGCCTAACGTTGTATAACGATCCGATCAGGCTACTCTTCATATGCTAGGTATGTAGGTGTCGTTTCTGCATTCCTATTCTTCTTCTTCTTCTATGCTTCTTCTTTTACATCTCCTATATTAGGTTAGGTACCTACCTACATCCATATACATACATACCTACATACATACATACCATAGTCATACATACACATATACATAACACCTACTTACCTACTACCTACTTACGCATAGTCCTACATCACTCGTACATATCCCCATACTTACACATCCATACACGCATCCATACACACGCATACGCATATATCTACTACCCTAAAAACTACCCTAAGCTATCCTAAGCTACCCTAATACTGTATGTTATGTACGGTGAGACGGCAACCCTCGTTGCTTGGCGCCGCTACCAAAAGCTCCACTAGAGTCTAGCACGTTCTTCTGACCTCTTCCTTGGCCCCAGGGCCCTTCTCTTGGGTTATGTCCCCATGTCTTATCTTCCCTTTTTATTCTAACCTTACTCATCACCGTTCGCCGCATCTCAGACGAAGCAGACGAACAGCTTCTCCCCGCATTTTCCTTTGATCTGGTGTATGTATTACCCCCAAAAAGAGAGGAGAAAAGGGGAAAAAAATTATTAGACGGTCCAAAAATAATAATAGACGGCCCCAAACCTTCGCCATCGTCATCATTATCAACTTCCCTCCCTTCGCACATCTCTTACCTCATCCTCCTCCTCCGCAACTCCCCGGTCTACTTGAGAGTTGCAATCAATTTCCCCAGCTTCCAACCCCCCCGCCGGATTCAACATTCAACTGATCAACTGCCGACCCTCATACATGTACAACCTCAATCCGCATAGGCCCCGTCGCTGATTCTTCCGACCTGCAATTTAGATTAATTACATTACATCCAGCCTCAACCTCGCTAGCATAGCCTCTTACGCAATACTGCTAGTCCTGCATTTGCTCCCGACATCTCCGTTTGACTACGACAGCATCCTACCCCATCCTTCACCTCGTCGTCCTCTCCCGCAACTCCCCGATACCTGCGAAAGACTGGCGCTCACTCTACGCCTTAGCTACAAAGACGGAGAACAAAACGGCTCCCACTTCTTCCGCCGCCCTCCTCCTCTCCGTCCTTGACAGACTATTTCATCCTCCCTAGCAGCGAGCTAGACATTAACGAAGAATATTATCCGACCCGTCGCTAATATACGATCGACATATCGGTGGGCGCCTGGGTTTCCTCTTCCTGCTTTCCGTTTCTGCCTAAGTCAACAATAAAAAATTTTTACGCCGCAAAGCTGGACTGATACTCATTGAGCATCGTCAACATCCGATACGAGACGATGGGAAACCAAGCCTCCAAAGAGGGGGGGAGCGGCAAGGGCTCAGGCGCATCCTCCGGAGACCGCGCCGAAAACTTGCAATCGTATCCCTCATTTGGAAAATCGGAGACCAAGGATTCTACCCGTTCATTTAAAAACCTCCGATCGAAAATTCCTGGTGGTGGGAAGACAGATAGTCCACGAAGCTCGGCGATTATGTCCAACGGAGATTCTGTCGGGGACAAATCGGATGCGGCCTCTGTAAAATCTGCGCGGAGTAGTAAATCGAGGACTGGCCGTGCTGACTCAGTCACTTCCCCATCATCCCCGCGATCACCGGACGCAAGCAACTCTCACTTAGGTGATAACCAACCACCTCCTTCTCCTGTTCAATCTGCCTCCATTAGAGCTGGTCATGGCGACATACATGCTGCCCAAGCTTGTGGCGAGGTGGACCACGTATCCGATCAACCACCTACCGGGGTCGTGAATCCAAACCCGCATATACAGCAGCAGCCCGGAGCACCCATTTTGGTGAAGAAGGAGAATACTATTAACCCTATCATATCTATGCCGGGAACACCCTCGAAGGATGATTCCCCTACCGGAGTTGCTATGAGTGACATCAAGGATATCGACCTTGATGATTTCATTAAGCGGCTCCTAGACGCCGCGTACGCCGGGAAAGTAACGAAGAGCGTATGTCTTAAGAATGCCGAGATTGTCGCCATCTGCCAGAGGGCACGAGAATGCTTTTTATCCCAGCCCGCGCTGCTGGAGCTTGATGCGCCGGTCAAGATTGTTGGTGACGTTCACGGCCAGTATACCGACTTAATTCGAATGTTCGAGATGTGCGGGTTTCCGCCGAGTGCGAACTATCTTTTCCTCGGAGACTACGTTGACAGGGGCAAGCAGTCCTTGGAGACGATCTTGCTTTTACTGTGCTACAAGCTGAAGTATCCTGAGAATTTCTTCCTCCTTAGGGGGAACCATGAATGTGCCAACGTTACAAGGGTCTATGGCTTTTACGACGAATGCAAACGAAGGTGCAACGTTAAGATTTGGAAGACGTTCATTGACTGCTTTAACACGCTTCCGATCGCCGCCATCGTCGCAGGAAAGATATTCTGTGTTCACGGTGGGCTGTCTCCGGCCCTAAGCCATATGGACGATATCCGTAATATTGCTCGTCCAACCGATGTCCCTGATTACGGTCTGCTTAACGATTTACTATGGTCCGATCCCGCCGACATGGAAGCAGACTGGGAGGCCAATGAGAGAGGTGTCAGCTACTGTTTTGGTAAGAGGGTTATCACCGACTTTCTAGCAGCCCACGACTTCGATCTCGTCTGCCGAGCGCACATGGTCGTCGAAGACGGCTACGAATTTTTTAATGACAGAGTTTTAGTCACTGTCTTTAGCGCACCAAACGTAAGAGTGTCCCGTCCATCTATAACATCGTATACTAACTATCTATGTGCTAGTACTGCGGCGAATTCGATAACTGGGGAGCTGTCATGTCTGTGTCTTCGGAGCTCTTATGTAGCTTCGAACTACTGAAGCCACTCGATTCCTCTGCGCTCAAGAGCCATATTAAGAAAGGCCGAAACAAGCGCAACAACATGCTGAACAGCCCGGTACGTGACGGCCACCGCCCAAGTCTACTTAAAAGAGAGTTTTCATGACTGACACTTTTCTTCATTAGCCGGCTAGCGTATATCCCCAGAGCGTATAAAAATCTTCTATGAAGGGCTTCTCAAGAGAAGGCCTTCGCGAAGTAATCATACCGACGAGTTCATTTCGCATGGAAACGAGTTGATGGACCCTAGGGGTTAAAGTATGGACCAGAGATGCATCCTTACGCCTACGGGCCTTCTTTCGTTTCGAATCATGACACTGCTAGAAGATAACCAAGAACTGCGGTGTGCGAGGGAAGGGTCGGAATTTAGCGGCAAGCCCTGACGCCAAAGTCGAACTTAGCCCGGTCAACCCAGCCCTAAGGCAGCCTATGCCGTTGGAATGGGAGGTGAGGGTGTAGCAATCCTTGCAAGCGAGAGCAAGCCAGAAACGGTTTTGCTTAAGAAACAACATCTATCGAAAACTAACTAGAGCTCGGGAAGTCTATTGTTTATCTATCCTCCGGTGGCTACGGGGCTTAAGAAGGAAACTGATTCCTTCCCGCGTTTCTAGGAAGGGAAAGGAGGAAATGGACGGTTGGATGGTTGGATGGCGCATTACTACTTACTTCAGTCCTTGATGTTATCGTGTACAGTATCAAGGTTTCGGTTAGGTTAATTACTACGAATGAGTATGCTTGGAGTCCGCGCATTTGTCATTAGGGGGGCCAGATGGTCCCGGGCAAGCAAAGCAAAGCAAGCAATTACTAGGTTAGGTTTACCTAGGTTAATGAAAACGGGTGGTTTTATTTATTTATTGTATTCTCAATTTATTGGAAGGTAGCTTTATTTGATGTATGAGTATCGTGTTATTTGGTGACTAGTAGTATGACTACCTAGGTATAAACTTGAGTTGCTATAATCAGTCTATGTTGGTTACAATATATACATTATAGCTACCTAGGTAGTTAAGTCGTAAAATGTATGCTGTTTGCGGGAGCTTAAGTTCATCTTACGGCATTCACTGGAATACTCAGGAGGAGGTATGTGCTATCATTCTAGTCTCGATATGTCAATAATTGATGAGGTATCTATCATAAGTTTAAGTTTAGGTAGGTAGGTAGTTTACATCATTTAGCATAGCAAATCGAGCCGAGGCATCATCTTGACCTTGAGTTGGATATGCCAAAGATAGGAACACAAAAATGGGGGTTTAGTTATCCAGGTAGATTAGATAGAAGGTCCTTTTTGGTTTGTCCTGTTGTGAAATAAACTGCTTTATTGTTAGCAAAACTCGATTGACGATGAAAATATTTACTTTATACTAGGTAGACAGCTACCCCTGAGTGCCTGGATACCTAGGTAGGTAGTCATCTACAATACCGCAAACCGGTCTATGATAAAACCACCAAATTAGAAAAAATGCATCGTGGAATTACTGTACTACCCATCCTCAAGGGTGATTAAGAGCCTCGTAGCTAACGGAAATTAGACTATCTCTTGCAACCAGCCCGCACGCAATGCTAATGTAAAAAGGTATTTCTACAGCCATGTCCGCGGACACTATTATACATCTCCTTAGGCTAAAAGTCGATTCTATTATATAACGTAGAGTAGGTCAGATACCTACCTAGGTAGGTAGTGGCTTGCACCATAAGATGTGGCCTTGGGATTAAATTTCGGGCCGAGTCGAATGTTGGATGGGATTAGAAATCTCCTCACTGCTTCGATGGAAAAACTCCTAATATTAGTTTGGCACTGCTAAGTAGGAGAATCTTCGAAGAAGACCTAGGCTAATCATCGTACCTGGCCGGTCTGCGCCTGGTTCGCGAGCGGTCGATCGGTAAGTCATCATCGCTGTCATCGGTACCAGCACCGGCGTGTATGACTCCGTCGCTATCATTCCAACTTCCGCCGTTATATTCATCATCGCCACTTGCACCTTTCCTCGTGCGTCCTCTTTTAGATACGGGCCGTATGTCCGAGTCGGATAGGTCGAGCTCGGGGTATGCGATGCCCGAATCTGGCGTTGATAATGGGCTGGATTCTACCACGTCTTTGGCCTGTCGTCGGTTTCGCGCTAGAGAAGGCGTCTCTCTGCCAGCGGCTGAATCTGAGTCAAGCTCAAGCCTAGCTTCCGTATGCTTAAAACGACTACTCCCTTGAGCGCTGCCTGGGGCGCTGCCCTGAACAGCATTATGTGTCCCCCCTATGACGACCGTGTCTCCTTCGCCGCCCTTGGCCTCTATGTTGGCTTCTCTCTCTCGTATCTCTTTTTCTCGCTGCTCTTTCTCTCGCAACTCTTGCTCTTTAATATGTTTCGGCTTCCTGCCCCGACGCTTGGGTACAGTTATAGGCTTGCTCTCTACCACCAAGGCTTTGTCAATTTCTTCAAGCGTAGCATCCTCAAGGAGTCTTCGTGGTTTCTTACGCTGCCGTTTAGGCGTTAACTCAAGCTCATTGCCTTCATCCACCCCTTCGTCAGTTTCTTCGCGCCTGGCAACCGGAGCTGGGAAACTCTTCCTAGCCTTTGGCGGGGCTCCTAGTCGCTTCCTTAAGCGCGATGGTTTGCGAGTGGGTGATCCTTCACCGACGCCTACCATTACATCATCCTGAAAGTCAGTTTTAGGGCGATACTCGCCCTCATCCGATTCTTCTTCGTCGATAACGGCACGCTTGCGCTTACGTCCCTTAGCTATATTGATGTCAGAGAGTGGCTCTTCCGTGGGTTCAAGAGCTTCGTCATCGTCTTCCGGTTCTGAATCGACTTTAGCGAAGGTTTTCTTTGGTTTGCGGCCCGGTTTACGCCCTGGTTTTCTACCTGGCTTGCGACCGGGTTTCTTCCTTGGCTTTTCATCATCATCCTGGCCTTTCTTGCGGGCTTGCTCCTTAGCCTTACGTCGCTTTTTCTCGGCTTTCTCTTCTTGCAAAAGCTTCTTAGTCAGATTTGGGAAGTTCTCGCCGTAATGGAAAAACAACTCTTCCCCGGCCTTAATTTCCCGCAGAGACGTGAATTTGATGCGATATTCGCCATTGACATAGAGGATTCGCGGCGTAACATTACAGTTGGTTTCCTGGTGGTTGATATATCGACTAAGATTACCGTAGATAGCGGCATCAACCCAAATCCCTTCTTGCTCTAGTAGGGTGAAGAGATATGATGAATTAGACGACTCGTCAAATACGTCCCCGCGACGTGCCTCGCGACGGACCCCTTCGTCCTGACTGATAAGTTCACCAACGTACTCGATGACGAACTCATCTTGTGCAATATCTTCGGTAGCAAAGAGTCCATAGCCAGCAATCTTAGATCTTCCAAGCATAACCGACTTTGATCTGCCTCGCTGAAGTGCACAGTTCTGGCATCCAGCGGCATGTAGAGCATCGTTATCCGCATTTGCTGGGTTGGCTCTATCGGAAGCACCACAGCTCCCGCATAGAACAGGGTCACATTCGCGATTAAGCTGCACGCAAATGCAAGGCCGATCCTTTTGCTTAGGGACACATGTCTTCCCATGAGAGTGACAGGCACAGCCGGTGAACTTGCTGGCGCAAATTGCTGCTGTGCATCGACAGAAGCGCTCGCACATAAGGCGGTTTTGGACGCACCTACAGTTCTTCATTGTGCACGGCCCTTCATGGCTACATGGATCAAAACAGTCCTTCCTCTGGTGCTCGTGGGTATTAGTATGATCTTGCCAGTCCCCTATGAGCATTTTCTTTTTCCTATCATACCAAGGTAGCGGTTTCACTTGAACCTGTGGTATGGGGTCCGCACTGGGAACAGTTAGATCAAGCTTATCGAGCTGACGGCTGACATCCCAACAGGGCCGTCCAGTGGCCACAGAAGTAGCGCATTGTACCGGTATATTCGTGTTGCTCAACGTCGAGAAGAATGATCTGAGGAGCATTATTTCACTCTCACTCCATGCACGGGCTCGTGTTCCCGGGCGCCCATTCAAAAAGCAGTCATCGCCGCAAGGCTTTTTTACTTTGCGAGATGTAGGGCTATCTTCGATCCTTCCCTTGGATCTCTGCGTAAGCTGTTGACGAATCATAGGTGACAAACCGCCAACTACCTCGATAGAGAACCGCTTCCGTTCGTTATCAACACCGTATTCGCCGTGTTCGCAGGAATGGCTGGTGCATATCAAGCAACCAAGCAGCGCGTAAGTTTCGAGAAAAGATTCGACCGTTGCCTGCTCTTCGGTGACTTTCGATTGGCTAGGAGTCTCCTTCATCCATTTCTTAGAATCGACGATGGTATCAACCGACTTATCTAGTAAGAGGACGTCGCGAAGAGGCACGGCGCGCTCGCGTAGAAGAGGTGAGTTGAAGACCCGATCAAATGCTTCCGTGAAAATTCTGACAGTTTTGGCCGATCGCGGAGACCCAGGCTCATCATTATATGAATTCAGAATACTTGACTTTTGCTGAGGAGTGACATTATCACTCTGACTGGCCATATAGCGGATAAGGGTGGTCTTAGTACAATTCTCAATGTTGAGGCCAAGTCTATCAAGCCAAGAGTCGAGATATAATAGTAAGGTAGTCGCACGCTCCTTTTGAATGGTCTTTGTCACCTTTTGGTGCCGACTTAGCGTAGCAAACCCAGATGTCTTGTCCATGTTTTCTAAATTTTCTAGCCAGCGGCGGTAGACGCCTTCTTCATTATCTGCCAGATCTCGTAGATGAGGGACGTAAGTAAGCATAGTATTGGGAGAAAGAATATTCTTCCTGATTTCAACATGATGAAAACCGTAGGACGGGACCTTCTCTGCATCGGTTTTAATGCAAATGACCTGATGTTGTTCTTTCTTTTCCTGTTTTCCAGATCTACCATGGCCAAATTGCTGTGCATTTGTTAGCCTCTCACTCCTATTCTAGATGAGATCCGGATTTTAGGATCTCGAATAGCGTGTGCAGCGAGTCCTTGGAGACAAACCTTATACTTAATTTTTATCGTATCTGACGATCTCCCAACGCCTTCTAACGGGGCGCGTTTCATATCCGCAAACCAATCCTTCTTGCTCGTAAACTGCTGATTGGGCGCTTCTTTTTTCCAAGCTATATGAATCAACCGAGCAGTGAGCTTGGCGCCGTCCGTGCCGATCTCTTCTGAGAACTCTCGTAAAGCTACCACAACGTCATCGATGGACCAGGAAGATTTTTTCGGGGTTTGAATTTTAGGTGTTCGATGGCTTCCAGGCGGGTGGCGCTGACTTGATGAAGGTGTGGCATCTACGCCATTCCTAGAGCTGCCGCTTGATCTAGCCGGTAATGAAGCAGTCTTGCCATCTTGGTTTCCATGCTTTGACGTAGACCCCTTAGCGGACATAGGAGGAGTTGCAGCGCGAATCGATATAGAATGTTCCTCCATAGATGAAGGTTCTTGCTGTCCAGGTGACTTATCCGGAAGATGTGGACTAGTAGGATTACGAGGATGTGCCCCTAACTGAGATTCAAATTGTGATAATTGCGATAGTTCTGATAGTAAATGAGATTGAGACTGAGACTGTGACTGTGACTGCCCTTCTTGAGGTGTAACCTCTGAGACATTATAATCATCGGAATCTGAAACCACGGCCGTTAAATCAATAGGAACTCTATCCATCTCGCTAGAGCACCTGCTGCTAGGCCGCACACCCTCGACTCCGCCCCTATTTTCAATCTCCAACTCCAGATTGGAATACTCCCAGAGTCCGAGTCCTTGTCTTCGTCCTTGAGTCTACCAAGGATGTGGTGGATATGACAGTGCTCCACCCATTGTTTATTGTCTATTACGGGTAAGTGAATATGATCCCAAGGCCAAGGGTGATAATTGTGGCTGTTTGGTCCTAGATGTAAACGCGTCTCAAGTAATTATAAGAATATATTAAAAAAAAAAGGGGTTGGATTTAATGTTTGTGATAGAAAACTTGGGCCTATTTTGGATAAATCACAGGTAAACTAAACCAATGAATAAAGGAACTTACTATTGAACCTCTTAAGAAGTTGAAGTGATGCTAAATTAATAGTTACGAGAGAAATGTGAATTTTATAAGTCTTGATTGACGGACGCGTCGATAAGATGAGACGACACGAGATGAACTAATAAGGTGTTATCGTTATCTAATCGCTTATAATAGGAGTGTGGCTTCCTTTGTGGCTAGTATTCTTAGCTCTAGGAAGGTTCAGACCTCTACGTAGGTACCTCATTACCTACGTAGCTTAGGAGATAGGTACAATTGCTCTCATATGGAAATGGCAACAAGTTTCCAACACCCAATTAAATTTGAGTTATTGAAGTAAAGTCTTGTCTCTACTTCCTAACATGATGATTGGATTATCTATGCCAGGTACTTAACTCAGATGTCTCATATTAATATAATATCCAATATGTCGTGTTCAATCATTTAACTATACTCGAAAATACAAGTCTTGAACCTATTATTATACATAATACCTGGCTATTATTATTTTAACTACCTACCTAACATATACTCATTCAATCAATTACTTGAAGTGATGTAGTCATGTTATATATCAAGCTAGGATTAGATTATCCGCTGTTTAAACTTTTTCTTCCGAGTCAAGCGTCATTACACGTTCTACTCTAAGGGACTGGAGCTACGTACAAGTTTCTTTCTTAGTCAAGAGCTAATTTGTACGCATGCGATCCGTAATGAATGATTAAGTGGAAGCACTAAGTGGAAGCACCTTCGAAGACGGCATGAGCTCAAGACTTGTGCGCCCCAAAGAACAAGATCGGAGCTAGAGATACGCTACCCGTTAGGTCAATCACCATGTTAGGATTAGCTCTTTACACTAAGAGCTGGAAAAACACAATTCGGTAGTGATGACGTAGCAGTAAGGGGACCAGCTCTCTTTTTGTTCCCACTTTTTCGATTGTCTCAACCTAAGCTCTTTGGTTCTAACAGGTCAAAACCTGTAGAGCCCCAAGACATTCATGGGGCCACTGGGAACAACATGCCCATCTTACCATCCAGCATCCAGCATCCAAGCATCCAGCCCATCCAAGTCCATCTTCCATTCTTATTCTTAAATACGAAAAAAGTGTGTGTGTGTACCTTACGTATATGATCGCCCAAGACCAATACCCAAATCCGTCCGCTTCTTTTTAAGACGAAGATCTTAAAAGACTAAAAAATTACATCCACACTTTCACCATCTTCCTTACCTTTTGGAGTATCGCATTCCGCATTCCGCATTCCGAATTCCATATTCCCATTAATCAGCTCCAGTCTTCCTATAACGAATATAGCAAAGTATTATAACAAAGTATCAACCATCGCATCGCATACTCCACCATAGTTGTCGACCCTCTTACATTGTCTCTTAACATCACAGCTATATCCTTACCGAGCCGACCTTCCTAGTATCACTGCAATCCGCTTAATACTTGTTACCAATCCGTCTTTTACAATGCATCGAACATATTCTATGCGCCAGACTCGGGCGCCAACTGCCTCGCAGATTCAGGTAGGCCTCGTTGCCTAGTCAATGCGCTTTAAGGCAGATGCATTGTTAACATCGTTGCCATAGAACCCCCCTCCCCCGCCATCGTCTACTAAGTCGGGTAGATTATTCGGAAGAGGCGGATTTGGTAAGTTTTCTCAGTACTCTCCCAACTTATGACAATACCGTTCACGTTCACGATGGGTTCTTCATTTTCCAAAGAAGATCAGTCCGCTAATAAAAAGCATAAAGGACATGCGCTTCGTCGAAATGCCGCCGGCGCTTTCGGGCCTGACCTAGCCAAGAAGTTAACCCAACTTGTCAAAATGGAAAAGAACGTGATGAGGAGCCTGGAGCTTGTCGCAAAGGAGCGCATGGAGGTTGCTGTACGTGGAACCTATCCCCCCCCAAAGATTGCGCCCGCTAAAAACTTCTATCTAGCAACAACTCTCACTCTGGGGTGAAGCTGGCGACGAAGACGTCTCTGACGTCACCGACAAGCTTGGTGTACTCATCTATGAAATTGGCGAACTTGAGGACCAGTACGTCGATCGATATGACCAGTATCGCGTAACCATGAAGAGCATTAGAAATATCGAGGCATCAGTGCAGCCTAGCCGAGACCGTGAATACCCCTCGCAAGAAACCCACTATAGAGATCGACACCAGCTAACCCCATAACAGGAAAGCAGAAGATTGCCGATCAAATCGCCCAGCTTAAATACAAAGAGCCCAACTCACCCAAAATCGTTGTTCTTGAGCAGGAACTTGTTCGCGCCGAAGCTGAATCGCTTGTGGCTGAGGCTCAGCTATCTAACATTACTCGTGAGAAACTAAAGGCGGCATACACCTACCAGTTCGACGCCCTGCAAGAGCACTGTGAGAAAGTCGCAATCATCGCCGGCTATGGCAAGCACCTCCTTGAGCTCATCGACGATACGCCCGTAACCCCTGGCGAGACCCGAGCTGCCTACGATGGCTACGAGGCCAGCAAGGCCATCATTCAGGACTGCGAAGATGCACTAACTAACTGGGTGTCATCGAACGCAGCCGTGAACCCAAAGCTATCCACACGCGCCCGTACGCTCTCCATGCGCCGCCGAAACAACATCAAAGCTAGATCAGAAGGCTTGGATCTGTCCGCTCAGGACGCCCCTCTTAACGACCGCGAGTCCTGGGTTGCAGCTGGAGAGCACCGGAACCACGAGTATGAGGAGGAAGAGGAACAGGAGGACGATCAGGCCCATTCCATACTGGATTCTGACAGTGGCTTGAACGGCGAGCAGCACCGAGGCCGCGCCCCTGAGATGGCTGCCTAGTAGGGTGCTTAATTACCCATCTCCGGCTCCAGTGGCTGACGGTAATTCACTAGTAATGTCTAATACGAGGAAAGGTTTATAGCAGCAGGTACGGGCGAGGTCAGGCGAGGTCGGGCGAGGTCGGACACGGTAGTGGTATAGCACTTCTTAGGGCACACGACATGACATTGCAGCACATTGATTAATTGATTCCGGTCTCGAGGAGACCAACTTACTTGCCCTTTTGAGCACTGCTTTGCCTGGATGAAACGATAGGATGAACGAACAACGATCGGACGGGGCGGGGCGAGGCGAGGCGGGACGGTGATGAACACACACACATACACATGTATACACACGTAATAGGAACTGGACAGCACGGATGAGGGGATGAGTGAATGGAGGAGAACTGGAGACAAAACACTTTGCAAATAACACAAAGAACGGTGCTTACCTTACCTTACCTACTTGCTACTTGCTACTTGCCCCCTTAATACACTCCTCCATACCAATAACCAGGCAATAATCAGTGCTTTTCCCATGTCTTGTCTTGTCTTGTACTTATAGTGCGTGAGTGAGTAAGTAAGTAGCAAAAAGAAACATATGACCATGCCTCTGTAAGAACAATATACACAATAAGCTTTCACGCAAGAGCAACAACGAACGTGTCGAGAATTCCTACTTATTTGCAAGTACCGTGGCACTTCACGTTAAATTTACATGGCATGTTGTCTATTTGCTCGCTCCTTGTAATTAGGTAGGTATGATGATAATGCACACGAACATGCCTACCTCTTAAACACGGGCCTTGATACATATGAAGTTAATAGTGCACGTTTTGATTGCACAACTAGTCCCTAGTAATCACTATAATTCTTATTATTTTCTCTTTTTTTTTCTTTTTTTTTTGGTATTCTCCCTAAAACCATGCCTCGAGTATGGCGGTTATAAAAATATCCCATTTCTCCTTACTGAAGGTGTTGTATACTTATTCCCTTCATAGAACGATGAAAGACCTAATCTTAACGTACCCTCCTAACAAGAAATATTACAATTCAAATAGTACTTCTGCCTGAATAAGCTATGCTAAAAAATCACAGGAGTCAATAAAAAAAAAAGCATCTCAGATCCCATAGCCTCGACAGTTGTATATGTAGTACACGGAATTCATGCACCTGTATTCTCAGTAATCTGCGACAAAAAATAACTCATTTATTTCATACTACATAGAAAAGTCCTAATTATATGATGCCACCGGGACCCTGCCATAGCTATAATTCAATCCCCCAAACGTGTATTATTCCATTTAATCTATCTTGCCCCTTACACTTGACCCCATCCCCTCCTATATCTAAGTATACGTCGCTCTGTTCCCTAGCAGGGTCTTTAGACTCTTCTCGCTAGCCAATTCCTGCTTACCGCGGCCGCTCATTCCCAACTTCTGCTTCAGGCGTCGGACCAAGCTACCGCTCTCTGGACGGGGAGGTTCCATACCAAACGATCGTCCCATGTATGGCCCCTCGTCTGTAAATGCTACCCTCTGAGCCCTTGCTCTGCGGTTCTCCCACCCGTCTGTTGGACTATCGGTTGCGTGGTATATAGCCACAACTTGTCCACCTATATTGAGAAATGACCCATGGCCTGGCCCAAAGGGGCCGGTACCGTGTCTCCGCGTCTGAACGAGCGGCTCTTCCCCTTTCCGCCACGAAGTCGGATCTAATGGGTCACCCCCTATATACTGTAATAGTCCCATCTTGTATTCGTGGGTCCAGCTGCCGGCACATGAGTAGACCAAACCCTGCCAAGAGATACCTCCGTCGGGTGAGCTCAAGAACTGCGGTCCCTCATTGATGCCATGGTCCGTACCGTTACCTTCGCGTGTAATTTCCCAGGGATGCTGCGGGCGAGATATGACGATGGCAGGACTGGCAGCGCTTGTCGGGTCCTCGAGTTTCATGATATACAGCTGCTGTATAAGATCGGACGAATCATCGGGGTTATCGAGAGGCCAACCCGAATATACAAAGTACAGATGCCCGTTCATCTCGAATACAGTACCGTCGATCGCCCAGTGGTCCGGCATCTCGTTAATGCGACCTAAGAATTCCCACTGACCCCGACAAGGGTCCTCGGATGCCGGTGGTCCTCCCAGAACATACATCCGGTGGCTCTTGTTCCCGTGAGCCGGGTTCGCGGCGGCATAGTAGACGTACCATCGGCCATGCAGAGCATGAAGCTCGGGAGCCCAAAGATCGGCGGAGTGGTCGGTGCCCTGAGGAGGAGTCCTGGCGTTAATGTCAGCACCATGACTGGCTAAAAGAGATATGCCATTAGAGGAGATAGTGTATACCAAATTACATGTCTATCAGCAGAGCTCTCGATGTCAGCCAGGCTGCGGGATGACCATATTTCGACCCTATTTCCGGCGGTGAAGGTCTTGGTATAAAGTTAGCAGTGCCATCCTATCAAGAACATATAAGTTAGTGGGTAGTGTCAGTAGCTTACGAGATAGTAGCGGCCTCTAAAGAGGGTTACGAATGGGTCCGGAGTGCCGATAGAAGTAATAGTAAGAGTCGAGTTATCGTATTGCATAGCTGCGGGATTGTCCATCGACATTATCGAGGCTAACGCGCGGCTCGCACCCGCCAAGGCGTCCCGGAGAAAGATATAGAGCATTTGCTCCTCTTGATTGACTTTCGGTTGGTGACGTATATTTTTAAAACTGTGCTTGTTTCAGTATGTCCGATCTGCGAGTACGAAATTAGGGTTTATTCGTAAGATAGAAAAAAAGAAAAAAAAAGAAAAAGGTTAAAAGTTGTGACTAAGATAAATAATAACTAGATAGAAAGATGAACTAGGTGAGAATAACCGGGTATCGTTAGATTTCTGACTGGTATAAGGTTATAGGAGATTGTATAACGATGATAGCTGACGACGCAAGTGGAGAGGGTGGACAAGATCACAACCTGTCTTTTAGAGGTTGATTGTACATCACCAAATGATCAATCCAGTGTCACAAGTCGAGTGATGTGAAGCAGACATGAAGATATGATTTGGAAGATGACTCGATATTTAACAAAATTCCAAATTTTATGTGTAACGGACGACACCGCAGTTGCCCGAACATGACCGCGTAAGTTCCCCCTTTAGCTTCCTTCACCTTCCATCACCCCCTCTTCTTCCCCTTCTTTCTCTTCTACCCCTTCCCTTCCCCCTTCCACCTTGGATACCTGTACCTAAGGTAACTTCCCAATATAAATTCTTACTGTAACCATCATATAGCTGATTCCCAGTATACCATTTATAGTTCCTGATTGCACAAATGATTGCACAACGATAAGGTACAATCCAATTGTGTTCCAATAGCATAACAAAAAGCCAATCCGTCCCAGCGCCGCGCTCCGCTTAGTCCAATATTCCAAATCCCAAAAAACAATTCGTTTTGAATAGAGAGCGTGCCTCCCAAACGCCCTTAATAAAATCAATGGTATAATGACAAATGAACAGGTAGTCAGTCCGACGTAAAACTCATTTCTAACACATGCAGCCTCCTCGAGGCAGCTCAGTCTTTCGAAGCATGGCATGATCCATTGCTTATAATTGCAAATATTTGCGAACGTTGTGATGAGCGAAACCCAAAGTAACGCCTCAGTAAAAGTCCCCGGCGTACGCATGTTCCGCCTCCCACTTAAGGAAATCTCCCAGGTCGTGTCCAAGGTTATATCCCATCGGGACAACATCCATATCGTCTCCGTCCGGGCTTCGAATAACTCGGAGGTCCAACATCGGGCTCTGTGGAAGACTAGCATAGCTCTCTCGGCTATTATATTCCTTGGATTGATCAAATATCTCATCGTCTAGACTCATCCTTGAAGTATCTAGCTCAAGCCCGGATATATCGTAGTCGGGCTGATGGATTTCAGGTACTGTCTTCTGCCCGGGGGTCTGCCAGTGGTAATGCTGGTTGTATGGGTTGCTATCCTTCTCGGTATCGTTGTATGATACTTCCGAGCAATCCTCACCTGAAGTCATGCTCATAGGGCTATCGGCTTCAATAGGGTGGTCTAGGAGTTCTCCGGGGCTGCTGAACTTCCATGAGCCAAACCATTCCACGATTTCTGCTGCCTCTTCCGCCTCTCTACGGCGAATTGTGTCGTCGCTTTCGGAGAACCAGTCTCCGGCACCCCCGGAAATAGCCATCTGGAATGCTGTCCAGTCTAGACCATCATCCGCTCCGATTTTAACATCCGCTATTAGATCAGACTTGGCTAGTCGGATCGGGCCGTGTCGGAAAATTGGGCTGGTCATGGAACACGGTGATGATTGAAGGAAAACGTAATTTGAATCCGCGACCATATCTCGGGAATATCTGAGATCGTGGCCGACAAACAATTCATTTGTGGGTGTTAAGATGGCCGCCGTTTCTGGGATACTAGGCAGTGATGCCTTCTGGCTTCTCGCAGCAAATCGTGCAGCTTGTCTCATTGGTGGCGTTTGGAAAGTGGCATTTTTGTTTTGCGCCGGTTCTTCTCCTATATCCGTCTGTAATGCCGTTGTTGAGGTCGATGCCGGAAGCTCGATTGGGCCATATTCATTGCGTCCCTCTGTAGAAAAGTCCCTCCAGGCAACAGGCTTAAATGGTAATAACATATGTTTTTCTTCAGTTGGTGTGTCAAGGTCGAGTGACATACCGGCCGATCCAATTCTGGAAGATAGATCTTCAAGGTGAAAGGGCTCAATCGGTGTGTCGGTCGACTCAGTGTCAATCGTCTCGATTAATTTCTCGGACTGGGTTGACTGGGTTGACTGGGTCGGTTGGGTCGGTTGAGTCGATTGAGTGGACTGTGTAGTCTGGGTTGTCTTGACCGATTTTTCTGAATTCATTGTCGACATCCTACGCAACCTATACTCTTCCAGTTGGTCCGGTGTGAGCATTTCATCCACCTCAATTTTCTGGAAGAGTTTCCCACTAAATAGATCAGTCACATTGTCCGAGAAGTTCCATATTGGGCCGCTCTTCGCTGTCGACTTGGACGCGGCAGGCTTTCGACTCGGCTTCATCGGCTTCACCTTCTTAGACTTCTTTGACCTCTTCCTCTTGACCCCGTTGTTCACCGATGGATTCCGTCGGGGTGAGTAGATGGGAGTAGCGGCAGGTTTAGGAGAAACGACAGTCTTGGGTGAAGGGATGATTTGCGGGGAAGCGACTGCTTGAGGTCGCGGACTCTCTACTCGAGTCTGAGAAGCCAGAGGTGCTGGCTTTAGAACAGGTGACGATTCAGGAGTAGGAAGCGACGGTAGTGCTTTTGTCGAATTGTTCGTGACTTGCACTTCAACGAGAGCGTTGCCGACTGCTCTGAATGCCTCATCTGCCTCTTGTATAAGTTGCTGAATGTTATCTGTAATGCTTGAAAATGATTCCTGCCGTCGCAGGTGTTGCTGTAATCTTGTCGCTCTATTTTCTGGTCGTAGAGATAAAGCTTCTATGTAATCCAAATTCGAACTTGATAGTTCCGCCTGTCGTCTAAGAGAATCTGGAGACTCGGAATAGCTCTTAGGAGGGGGCGGCGGTGGAAAATCGTCGCCTCCATAGCTTGTCACACTAGAAAGTTGGAGTGATTCTTGGCTTCTATCTTCCTTTGACGATATAGAACAAAGAGGTGACTTAGACCTCTTTGAGTCGATTGATTGTGATAAGTAAGAGTCGTTGTGGCGTTCACAGCTATTCAAGGAACTAGACCTGGACCGCGGCGGCGTGTCGTATGGCGGCAATGGTGGCAGAGGATCCAGAATGTCATGAATGCTTTGTTCCCTACTAACTATAATCGGTGGCGGCGGCCGTCTCTTACTGTAGGTTGTCCGCCTCTTAGGAAGTGTACTACTGTCATTCCGTCCCGCCCTTTGATCCCATCTTTCGGTATCAACCGAAAACCCATCCTCAAATTCATCTTGGACTCGTCTTGGAGATATGAGCCTTCGAATGCTAACGCCTGATCTGGATAGCATCGTGTGTGGAGGCAGACGCAAGGGAAATCAGACAAGTGGAAAGAAACCAGCATCTGGGGGAGAGGACTCGACATATATTGAGGTAGGATCTACGTTTGGTGGGTGGCACAAGGCTCTGCAACCAAGGAAAAGGGCCAGCTGCATGCTACATATGCTACATAGTGATGATTACTTGAACGTCTTGTCATTCGACACCATGCAGTGGAACATGTACTTAGGTAGTATACATGAGAAAGGAAGGCATCTTGACGGAATGCGGCGGACGACCCTGGTCACTTAGCTTCTCCGCTGCGTATCTCACTTAGAGTACTCTTGTACGGCGTACGCGAGTGTGGCTCTGTGTGCGAAGGAGGCCCTGCCAGCCTGCGGAGCGGGAAACAATGGGGGTCCTGCAGAAAAGAGACAAGCCTGGACAGCCCAGTTTGGAGCAAGGAGGGACATTTTAACAGGGACATCGTTATTTTTATCAATCATTGGTCCACTCGGGAATTACTTGTTGCGCAATTCATGTTTCTGTATGGGCTTTTAGTCCCTGCTCGATACGGATCGGCCGGGATATTGGTGACGATACGTACCCCGTGAGCCGATCTGGATCATGGCAGTAGGGAACTAACGACTGCCCATGACACGCCAGTCGAGCATCAAAGTAGAAGTCCAACTGCCATGTCAGGCATGCTATCGTGAGGTTACATCCTTAAGAGGGAAGTGGATCGAATACTGTCGTAAAACGGACAAGATAGGCATATTTTGAAATGATGGCCATTATGCCTCGTTATGTATTTTGCTAGTTCAACTAGCGGACAAACGTAGTATGCGATGTTTCCTACTCAGGGTTCATCCCACTCGCGATCATCTGAACTGCATGTGCGCCTGTGTCGAAGTAATACATAACCGGACAGCAGGACACTAAAGTGTTTCCTAAGATCGCGATAGTGAAAATAGATGCGGAAAGCGGAAAGAAGCTCGACGGGCGCGAGGCGCGAGGTGCGATACTCAATGGGCTACCGAATTACAGTGTATGATATCTCCGTTGTACAAAAGCCAACGGGAGGTCGGTATCGGATCCTGGTGTACCTAAAGGTATTCGGCACCGCCCACATTGGGAACTTCCCATTTGAGGGGTAAATGGTGACATGAGTTGGAGCGTTGGTAGAGTTGAGATATGGTACGGACCAGGGGACGAAACTCTCTAACTGATGTAGAAAGGTAGAATGGGATGCTACGTAAGATGGCTAAGGAATCCAATGCCCCCCTTGAACAATACCTAATGGACCTACACTCTATTAGGTACCTAATAGAGACATTGGACTCGCGCAATATTCCCGAATTCATAAATGGCATCCGCTATGTGAAGCCACCTAATAAATTGACTGAAGGCAAAGACGTACTAGAACGACGCTCCTACCAACGCCGAGTCTTTAAGATAGGTATTTCAGCTAGGCCCAAGAACAGGCCAGGCAGACGGATAGGTCCAAATCAATTGAATTTAGAGACCGAGTAGATGGTTAAAGAGAATTATTAAGGTCGTACGAAAAGCACCTAGGTGTAACGTATCGAAAAAGCGGAAACAATTTTTTTGGTTGAGAGACAAAAGGGTAGATGCATCTGAAGCATAGGATGAACGGTAGAAACTTGGATGTGCTACTAGGTTTTTTTTTTCTTCTTTCCCTTTTTTTACCAGGGTTGTAAGGTTGAAGGTTGAAGGGTAGGTACAGAATTAAACACCCCTCCAGCCCCTCCTAAGGAACTTATTCCCTTGAGTTTAACAGTTTAGCGTAAACCTTTTTCCTGCCTTTTCAGTACATATTATGTACATGTATACTGCAACAATAATGGGGTTCTCCACCTTTTGTTTTACAATATAATTACAGTTAATGAGATCGAGAAGCCAAGGTCATCATCAATTGCCAATCTAGTCAATCTTACCAATCACACGTGAGTCCAACAGCCCTTCATATGGATATAGGTACAACATCATCGAATACGTACATACATATGTAATGTACAAACAGCCTTACCTGCCCGCCTCCCGCCTACGTAACACATTAATGTAATACACCTACATATATACTTACATATACAAAACATAACCTATAGTAAGCACATAGCACGAGACAACCACCTCCGTCCGCCTTTTCGTATAAGGGATACCTGATACCTGATACTTGAGACGACAGAAAGCGAATGTAGGTAGGAGAGTCAGTTTCGAACGGGCACCTTGACATAATTCGTCTGTTCGGTTTTCGATACCCGATACGGGGGGGTTTCTATGCGGCAATCCGCTGGCTGCAGAAAAAAACTGAGCCACCACCATTTTTACATACATGTCTGGTATGTATGTGGGTAAGTACCTACTTTTACCAGGCATATGCGGAATATCATCGATTTTCGGTAAGTCATCGCACATCCGCTCACTTTCATGACTCCCAACAGCATCAGTCAAATGCGCATCGCCCATCACACATACACATACATACACACACACACACACAAGTTAAAGTGGCTCATCGTCCATCATCACGGGCCGCCTTATGCTAGTTACCTACCTATGCTGCCTGTTTCCGTCGACTCGATGCGAACAACGACACCTGAGTCTTAGGAATAAGCGCCAAGGGGAGCTGACGAACGTGGGGGCCGGAGAATGCGATAGGTCTCTACCCAGCTAGCCTTGGTCGTGGCAGACGCGGCCGTGCGAATTGAGGCCGTAGTCTATCTATCCGTTTGCCGAGGCCGATGCAGGATACCGAGCAGCGCAGCGCAATACGCACAGGTACTACCCCACAATCATCGACAAATCTTTAGCCAGCGCCTATCGCAGCATGTACTTCGTATGTGTATTTTCTTTAGGTCTATACGGGCAAAAGTAAAATCATGGTGGATGCGTAATATGATCAATGATCATCATTTTCTTTTTTCCTTCCCAACCCATACGACCAGACCAATTTCGTTCGCGCGGGATACAACAGAAGGGATACGGCAGATACACTATTGATTAGAGTCATGTAGGTTTAAAAGATTCCAAAGCTCAGCAGCACATCTCACTAATCAATAATCATACACTAATTCGTACAGTTGCGTCTACATATGTACCTACTATGTAAGCTGATTAAACACTGCCCTCCAGATTAGGTCATAGGGTGCGGCGCTTAGGTTCAAGCCGCCTCACCTCATATTTATGACCTTACGCATTTTAATCTTTTTAGTGGCTCGGTCTTCTTTCGTCCGGTTACATCATTGTCAGATGACGGCCACAGACAGAGTCATATTCTATTAGTCAATTATTCGTATCTAAAGTAGTAGTATAGTACCAACACGTTTCTATATTTCAATATAATAATTACTATTTAATAGTATATATTTGGTTATTATCTAATTGCGGTGAAGTAGACTAGTAAATAATTTGACATGGCTCAGCGGTCCGAATGTTAGTACGGTGGATATTGATATAAATACCACTTACATAGCAGCCCACTCAACTAAAAAAGTCCTAAGCCCCTTAGCTCCGGGAACCTTAGTCTTAGACAAGATTACCTAATTTAAGGCTTCAATCTCAATATCAATAGGTCCTAGCTGTGTTTTAGTCTGTAAGAAAAGACACGCTACCTACCTTTTTGAGTTAAGAGTAAATACTAAACTAATTAGGTACCTATAGCTTAGGTATTAATTCCATAACAAAGAACTCATCCTCAATTCCAATAAACTCAACCTAGCATACCTAAAGGTACCAAGGATAAACAAACCAAACAAAAATAACCCCAAACCAAAATAAAAAAAATCGCTACCATGATCCATTGCTGAAAACATATTACCATAAGCTTTAACGCTGAAGCATTAGCTCCCGTCCTAGAATCGGCCTCCGTCCTCGAGTACCCAGGTAAATCCGTACCATAGGCCGTAGGTGTATCAAGCCCAACCCGCGGCACAGCAGCAAGCGTTCAAGCGTTTAAGCGTCTGTCTAGTCTAGTCGAGTTGAGGCAATGAAGCTGTATACACCCTGATCGCCTTGCTGTACACCACGAATTGCTCTTCGTCCGGCTTTGTCACAGTCACGCGGAACATGTATTCTCCAGGCGGGTGGATGAAGATGCCCCCGAAGACACATACGTTCCGTAAGTTTGCCCTTTTGCTCAACGCCGGGGAGTTCTCGACGACATCTTTGTTTAGGTCGGTTACACATATGTGGACTTCGCACCCGCCATCACAGGAGAGGCGTTCGCCAAGCTTGACGACGACGTTGAAGTGCCCGGGGCTGGTGGCGCTGGGGGTAGCTCGTATGTTTACTTGTCCCATGGTGACAGATCGCTTATGGTAAGTATTATTGATGATTGTATTGATGATGAATAACTAGTATATGGATTTGTAGGTATTCGTGCTAATGACTACTTGGTGTTGTTTTGATGGATGAGAGGAACAAAATGGTAAAACTACGATTCCAACACATGTCCCTACATATGAGTCTCTACTACGATGTCCGGAAGTTGCATCTTGACGTTCAGTAGCAAGAGCTTTGGTTTTTTTCATATGATCTAGGGAACTACTATGCTTGCGTTTCTGTATAATGATTTCCTCATAGAGCCTTGAGCTACAAACCCGAGAAGCTACCATGATAGAGGCTGCTGGATATTGTTAACTTTAAGCATAGGTCTCTACTACTTTAGGAATACACCTGCATCAACGATCATATAATATTCAATTTTCTAGCAAGTCCTACCGTCATAACATCAGCATCGACCCTGGAGCCAATGTAAACATATCAGGTAGTCAATTCATCAAAGAACATTCTTTCTAACTAAGCTACGACTTCATTGATGATGCTTATGTGTTTTTGACGTCATCAGAAAATTAATTAGATCAATAGATCTACCAAGCAAATCGACGTGATAGGTATTTATTTCAACCTCCCTAACATGGTAATCCCTTAGACTCTTCGAACCAATATACTCGAGACGAACGAAATAAGCAATAATTAACACTATTTAGCCCTATGTACATATAATCTCAGCCCTGTGATCGTGATAGATTAATGTAACATAAGATAACTTAGGTACCTAGCTGACTACCTACCTACCTATCCAGCTAGTATTTGGTAATAGGTTGTAACTGGCAGCTCTACCTCCCGACCAACAGCTCCCAGCAAAATCCCTTGTGTAATGTAGTACGCATGTTGACGCCATGTTCCTGCTTTTGCGAGACGCCAGCTCTAATATCGCTAGGACACAAGACACAGGACACAAGGGGGGCGCTTACGTGTTCACCATCCGTCCTCGCGGTAACTTCCTGCTCGCCTTTTTTTTTTTTTTTTTTTCGCCTGCGCGGCGCGAGGCGGGTTGCATTTGACCCCCAGTCTGACCGATCCCAGATACCTGAAACGAAACGGTTTACCTGCAGCGCTGAGATTCGGAAGGCTTGTCAGAGTCTTCTGACGGTTTTAATTTTCCGTCATCTGAGGATGGATTAATTAATCAATCAATCAATTAATCAATTAATCGACGATCTAGGGTCACAATATGTATGGCTAATCCTCCTTACCCCGTACGGTCGCAGCGATCAAACCATCTGAACTTCAAGATACGTGAATCGAGCCTCCGCGCGAAGGAAGACATGTATGTATGTATGTGTATATCGTATGTGTAGGTAGATATTCTAAAGTTTCAAAAGCCTCAAGTGTAATCTCAGCCTCAAAAAGCCCAGCTCATGGCTGGTCTCGACTCTCGATAATACAAATAGATTTAGACCCTGTCTAGAACGAGCATTCGAGCATCCTATCTTATTTTGAACTAGTGCAGATCTGGTTGTTGACCGTAGGTAACTACATTAGTTAAAATCCTTCTACTATGTGGGACGTTGAGGCTCGCAAGAAGGACTTTTTGACGATTAAAGCCGTCTTTCGGGCGCCGCCCCCTTATCAGTTAAGTTAGGAAAACATCGTGGTGTGTACTTTTGTCGATGAGTGGATGGGTGGGTTTCTTGTTACTACTATGAAGGATGCCGGTTATAGAAACACGATATGCCGACAAATACCGCATCACTTGCATTGGATGGAGCTTAGGTATAAGATTATATACACTACCATACATCAGTGACCAAGGTATGCCCCCCGGTCCCCCGCACTGTGCTTTGCAGGCTGACGACTTACATAGTATGTATGTATGTAAGGTGAGGTAGGTGAGGTAAGGTAAGGTATGTAAGATATGTATGTATTTACGATCGTGAAGCTTCTCCCAAAACATGCTAGAGTAGACGAGCCAAGGGGACTTTACATACATACATACCTACGTACATGCATACTAAGATGGAGATTCCAAGATGGAGCAACTTATTTATGGGCTTAGCCTCATAAGATGTCAAGAACCACGCGAAGATGAGACAGGTCCTGCATTTTCGCTACCAAGATGGCAAGCTAATAAACCCCTGAATAGGCAGGGAAGCCACGTTGATTCCAAGGTTCCAAGGTTCCAAGGTATGAGATGTTCGTCAAATCGTGGTTCTAAAGGATCACGCACGTCTCCAATACATATGCACAAGCGCACATACCTGCCTAATTGGACCGGCAGTAATCTATGGATCCCATACCAACGTTTGAATAGAGTTATTTTAGAGTTGTCCGTGTCTATCCAGCAGTCTATCAGTTATTGTTCTTTACACTAACCCACCACCGGTCTACATATCCTAACCTGACCTAGCTTCTCCCCCCTCCATCTACACGAAATTACCCCTGCAGCAAATCCTGCCAAGCCAACGCCCAGGCACCCTATCCTGTCCTATCCAATCCACGCCAGCCTTTGCCCAATTAACATGAGAACAAGGCAAGAGACAAAAAGAGAAAAAATCCAATGAACACGGGGCGTGAGCATTCTCTGCGGCGAGGTTTCAAGATCGTCATACAAACTTGACGTTTAGGATCGAAGATGATGCTCAAAGCAGTAGGTAACTGTATTCACTCGCCATCTTCTACCTGCCCTAGCTAGACTAAGAAGAAGAAGAAGAAGCCCCATCCCATCCTTTTTGTTCCATAGCTCGCGATGAGAAAAAAAAAGTTTGAAATGACCAAAAAAAAAACCCCCCCTTCCAAACTGATCCCCCGTGTTAGAAAATTTCAATACTTCAATTGAGAGTGAGACCGCGCCTCGTCCCGCTTGGCTCGTGATTAGCCAGCTATCGCACACTTAGTCGAGAGAGTAAAGATTGTATGTACCTATGGGGTAGGTATGTAGGTAGGTATCCAGACAGATACTTGAACAAAGAAAGAGAGTAAATCCCAAATTGACAAACTCGTCGTTACAGGAGAGAAGCTGCCGACGTCAGCGTCCGGCTTTCTCGGACCGGGATTGGGATGGGATGCGCCGCCTCAGTGCGTGGTCTTTTTTTTCCGTACGTGCGTATGTTGCTCGGTGCTCGGCCGCACCAGGGAGTGACGAGGGTTTCTCGCGGCTCGCGCTTAGACCTTTGTGCCTCCCCCGCAGCAGCACTCGCTCATGGACGCCGACGGGATCCGGGTTTGTTGAAGAAGAGGGGAAGGCATTTGAGATGAATGCTTCGGTAATATAGCGAGCGCTGTGAAGTTGGGAAGTGGTGGTAGGTAGGTAAGGAATGTACCTAATGTATGTATGCTATGGGTAAGGCACCTAGGTAAGGTAAGGTAATGTGATATAACCAGCCCGAGACGGGGTCTATACGAGTTCGTTGGCCTTCTTCATCTGTCGAGGTGTAGCGGTCTTTAGGAACGAGTCCTTAGCATGCTGTGGTGTGTACGGCGGTTGAGTTGGAGATTCGGCAGATGTGCTGGAAGTAGTGGCCTTCTGCTCTGAAGGCTTGTTTTGCTGTCTACTGGGTGTAGACGAGTGATCCCCGGTGCTCGAGGAGACAAGTCTGCTGGAGAAGCTGCTGCTGCGTTCCTTTGTCGTCTCGCTAGGGCTACTCATGATAACTCGAATGCATATATCTAGGAGATACCGGCCTGCCTATCTGCCTGGTTGTATAATTTCACAACAACTCGATCCCGTCAAGTTTTTATTAAGGAAGACCCTTACTCTTGATGGTAGGGTGAATAGATGTCTGTATAAGGTTATGGAGTGCGGTGATGATGAGATGGGATGGGGGTGTTAAGAAGCAGAAGGCAAACGGGATGCGGGTTGGGGCATGGCATTTGTGCACCGAAATTCTCGGGGACTGGCAAGATATATGCAGTGATCCCGACGGGCCTTGCTGTCACGAGAGCTTTACGATACTTCGACGATACTAGCACCAGGTAAGCTTTAAATTGAAACATCGGCCACGATCCTCTAAACAAACCTGATAATTCTACATACCTGCCTGGGTCATAGCAACTGATCGCCGCAATCTTCTTTCCTATATGTAGGTGGGCATCTAATGAATCAGTGATATATGATACGAGCATTCGTCTACACGTCACCAGTCATCAGGCAGAAAACATACGAGTTTACTCTTTGGGGGGTCTAGAATTACGTGGTGGGACATAACTTGATGTTCCGGGTTGAGACATTAGAGCGTGTCACCAGAGGGCTGCTTCGTGGTTAGAAACACTAGAGAGAGCTGGTGGCACCTCTAGTCGCCGTTAATTGTAAATAGCATAATATACGAGAACTTTACACTATTGCCAAGTGATGTAACCAAAGCCTCTCATAAGGCCGTAGCTGGTGGTGTTGGTTTCTATTCAATAGACTCGGTCGGCGTTGCCATCCTGCTGGAATTGAGACATAGCAGGACAAATATCCGGCGGCCGAGACAGCAATAAGAGCTGGGATATAGCTGGTATTGGAGGAATAGGTAGATGCCGGTCCGGTTTGATATACGTAGTCTGGCCTCTCAATGTAACTATCTTAAGGAACTGGTGTTATAATTCTTCATATTCTAATTTAGTAACCACTTTCATATACTAGAATAATATGAAATATACCTATATTGCCTACTACTCTTAAGGGAGGATAGCATCTATACACCAAGAGTTTCACCATGGCTCTAGAAGATGTGGCCGAACCGTGGCGCTATATACTAGTAACTAGACGTTGTGGAGATGCTGGTGAAACGATGGCTGTATATCACTTTGGGTAAAAAGTGTCTTCACTCGGGTTTTATTTAATATTCAGCATGCCTGGTAGAGAAAATTGCGGAAGATAACCCAGCTGTATTCCAGCACGTAGATTCGGATATCTACCGACATACTGGTTTAGTGCAATCGTCCATCCAAAACGTTCGTCTAGGAAAATAGTAAATTATATGTGTCTGCTATGTGCCGATGAAGAAGAGCCATGTGATGATGATGATGAATTCGTTAGCGTCCTGTGAGCGTGCAAACTATCTAAGGAGGTAGCTTACACTTAAAACACCCGTAACGCGGCAAAGGCGTGAGAGACTACTGGAATACTAGAGTAGAGCTATATTATGAGTATATGGGTAATATCTCTTGCCAAGAACCCGAAGTCATCCTTAGTCTACGGCACGAATTTCTAGACGTGACTTAAAATGAACGCCGTGGTTGTCGTTACTGTTGCTGATCAGCAGACGCAATAAATTGGTAGTCATGAACTATTTTGAGAACTATTTTGAGCACCGTGGTGAGGCATAAACGAGAATATACGTTATTTATATAGATGTAACTCATCGAGTCTCTATTTATACTGGATTCCAGCACAATTTTGTTACGCCATATGTGGAGGAAACGATACTGGAATGAGTGGTCGATTTTAGCTGTGAACTAAACAAGTGCGAATTACGGGTACTGTATTCGTTGATTTCGTTTCGATGGCAACCTAGTGTATTAGAGACACAGACGTGAAACATGAAGGCAACTAGATAGTTTAGACTGCTAACAAATAGGCAAATATAACACCCGAAACCACATACATAAGCTCGGCGGGCGTCTCGCTAGATGAGAGCGTGTTATTGATTATCTTCCTCCTCACTCCCGGTCTCCTCATCTTCTTGCGTGACATAAGGAACAAACCGAAAGTCAAGAAAGCTTACCGACCCGCCTTCAACCTCGACCATAAACTGCAAGCTGAGAACGCCTTGACCATCCCCACGGAAACTGACTTTGTTCGCTATACGCATGGCCTCGCTTGCCGACTTAACAAAGTCGAATTTGAAACTTTGTACCCAACGGTCGTGCACGGAAAAGGTTTCGAGGAGGTCACGGCCGCTTGAGAACTCAACACTAGCACTACCAAGACCCCCGCTGCTTGATAAGCTTAGATAGGGGGCATTTGGTGAAGCAGCAATGGCGATACGAATTGGAGCCATAGGAGCTAACTCGGAAAGAGCATCAAGGAGCCATCGAGCTTGCATGATAATCTTGAAGGATATATCTTCCCGATCGAAAGGGATATTATCATGTGATTCAGGGGTGTAAGTGACCATATTACACTGAGTCTTGACTCCAGTTTCCTCCAGGATGATGCTTAGCGGGGATCCATCTTCTTCATACATGATACAACATGTTCCCGGCATACCTAAAGTCTGGTGATTAAAGGCGTCTGGTCGGTAGTTACGTAGATTGCTACGATAAGCTTCCGATTCCGCTTTGGCCGCTCGGGCTGCTACGTCTGTGGCCCCGAAGATCTGTAAGGCTTCTAACAAAGCGGCCAGATTCATTTGAAATTTTGGTGTATCGCCTTCATCTGGCAAGTTCAAAGTATAAGATGTAAAGAGAGCTTTATCTAAAAAAGCTACGCCTGGAGATACTATTAGACCTTTTTCGATATACACCATGTTAACCGCTTACCTTGCATTACGTGCGAATGGTCTGCGGCAAAGCGGATGCCATCTTGAGTTATTTCCACCTGTACCTTGGCTGTGAAACTGATACATTTTAATAGTTGATATATTTGCCTCGTGGAACTGGCCACTGCTCGAAATAGTGGTAGTTGCGGAGGAGCAGATCCAGCGGATGAGGCCATATTGAAGGATATGGTCTTCCTTAGCTCGAGACCTTTTTCTTTTTTTTTCGATATTATCTTATAAGGTAGTAGCAACTTCGCCAGCAGAAATAATTGCCGATCACGTTCATATAAGGTGTTTGTATCCCAAATAATGCTTTCGTAATCCTCAATTCATCTATAGTATAGACTAGCGCTCTCCTGGGCCTGCGGTGCCCTTCTTGGGGTATTTTCTAGACGTAAACTCCAACCGCACAGAACATGTACACCGTGCCAAATCTGCAAACGCGTTAGGGGGCCTGAGTATATATAGCCACGTGAATCGTAGGAAGGAACGTACGCAACAGCTAACGAGGCCGGGAGTCCGTAGAGGGGAAGGTTGATGAGAGATCGGTCTAGAGTAATACATTAGTTATTCGTAATGATCAATTGACAACCATAGTAATAATTATAGTACTCACTCAATGCGAATGCGCCGGTCAGAGTAAGACCGAGGAGGAGTAGAACGAATCCCACTAGAAATTGACTACCTTTTCCAACTGTAGGAAGAAATGGACTGCCTGGAGCAGTTTGCCAGATCTCATGCAGTGAAGAATCCATGAAGAGTGATGACGCTCTGTAAGAATTTTCTTCACAAAATCAGGTGTTGCAGGTTGAATTGATAGGTAAATATTTCTAGGTAAGAAACGATAAAGAAAGGATCTTATCTACTTCACAGCGTCATGCCTTAGTAACCTTAGTAACCTAGAAGTTTATAAAACTTGCGATTTAGATTCGACGTGATTGAATTTGGAAGTAGCAAAGCTCTCTCCCCTTGTATCCCCTTGCCTTGTAGTCTTCTCATTGGACTTCTATTGGGTAAATGCAAGAGCTACGGACGCACGGACCCATCTTTTCGCAACAAACAGGTGGCCTGTCTTTTTATGGCTTAGCGTAAACCTTACTACCTCCCCAGCTCTTCTTTCTCTAATTAATAGCCAATAAGAATACTTAATCACCTAAGAGATCTTTCCCCATGTCCTTTTTTTAGTACTGGATCCATACTTTTTATTCCACTTCTTGCGTCGTCCAACAACGCCTCCGCGTCAGATTGCCGACGCTTCCCCATACGCTTATCAACTACAACCTACGAAGTGCGACTCGAGCGCATTCCATATGAGCACTTCCGCTCTTATTACATCATTTTTACTTAGCCATCACTATAACTACAATGGTTAAGGAAGAGCGTGAGTTTTTCTATCGCCGATATAAACGTGTTATTATTTCTAACCTGACTTTTTCGCGACAGATGTTAAGCGTAAGGCCAGTGACGAGCCAACGTCACCCGCCGCCGCCAAGAGGGCGAAGCATGACGACTCGACGGAACCAGAGAAGAAGCTCATTATTAAGCCGATACCTTTCCCAGAGAAGGTAAGCATCTATTTTATATCTATCTCTGCGACATAGTGATTCGCATGCTGTCAACTATCTGCTATCCTCCATAAGAAATAAACAATGCTGAGATAGACATTCCTTACCTCCCATTCTCATCACCTCTACGCAAGAGTTCCCAGCACGACCATACACACATTTAGAAAACACAAATTACTAATACCATGTCGCAGCCCGCTGTCATCGAAGAACGAAATGGCGAAATCGAATTCCGCGTAGTCAACAACGATAACGAGCGCGAATCCCTTATCATCCTGACAGGCCTGAAATGTATTTTCCAGAAGCAGTTGCCTAAGATGCCCAAAGACTACATTGCGCGCCTTGTCTACGATCGAACCCATCTCTCTATTGCCATCGTGAAAAAGCCTCTAGAAGTTGTTGGCGGAATCACATATAGGCCCTTCAAGGGCCGTCAGTTTGCAGAAATCGTTTTCTGTGCTATTAGTAGCGACCAGCAGGTCAAGGGTTACGGCGCTCATCTAATGTCACATCTGAAAGACTACGTTAAGGCGACTAGCGATGTCATGCACTTCCTCACCTATGCGGATAATTATGCCATAGGCTACTTCAAGAAGCAGGGATTTACCAAGGAAATCACACTGCCGAGATCTGTATGGATGGGCTATATCAAGGACTATGAAGGCGGCACGATAATGCAGTGTTCTATGCTCCCGCGCGTCCGATACCTCGAGATGGGTCGCATGCTACTTAAACAGAAAGAATGCGTTCTGGCTAAGATCCGTGCCTTCTCCAAGTCGCATATAATCCACCAACCACCTAAGCAGTGGAAGAACGGCGTCACCCCCATCGACCCCCTCTCGATCGAGGCAATCCGAGCTTCAGGATGGTCTCCTGACATGGACGAGCTGGCGCGACAGCCACGTCACGGCCCCAACTACAACCAACTCCTCCATCTGCTCAACGACTTACAGAATCATCAGTCGGCGTGGCCGTTCCTAAACCCTGTCAATAAAGATGACGTTGCAGACTACTACGACGTGATCAAAGAGCCGATGGATCTTAGCACAATGGAGACCAAGTTGGAAGCGGACCAATACAGTACTCCGGAAGAGTTTGTCAAAGATGCCAAACTAATCTTCGACAACTGTCGCAAGTACAACAACGAGTCAACACCGTACGCAAAGTCCGCCAACAAGCTTGAGAAGTATATGTGGGCCCAGATAAAAGCCATCCCTGAGTGGTCACACCTCGAACCATAGGTTAGTAACATGGAAAGATCGTTCACGGAACACCTGCGGCTCTCAGATAAGCGCGATAGAGCACTGGCTAGGGCACAGATGAAGAAGGATTTCGAGGTTGTCCCCGAATTTTTGGAGAAGGGCGTGTTGACTAGAAGCGCCGCTAGTAAGGAAAGGCAGGCTAAGGAAACCGGGTCGCCTCTGAGCATTGCTATCCATACTAAGAATGAAGAGACCTTGGGTTATGACGGTACCTCTAAGGCTGGTGTTGTTACTAATAGCACCCCGGGGCTGCCAGTCCAGCCAGTGGTCGAGGCGGAAGACCGCGATGTCCATATGGGACAACCTATTGATGGCCGGTCGATTTGCCGAATGTTCCAGCAAGTCTTAGCACCCTCCACAATTTTCCCTCAGAATCCCACGCATCCGACCCACGCTCCCAGAATCCGCCCCCGCGCTTCCCAGCGGGTGTATAAATATACGCCCCGGCGAAACCTTTAACGAGTTCGTGGAGATGCAGGTGGCAGCACGCAAGTCGAAGTAACTCGTTAGTCAGCACGTTTTCTCTTTTACCTCGTCTTTCATTCCCTAGTTATCGTCCCCCTTCGGCGAAATGCTAAGGACTCTTTGGAAGGAAGAGTTTAATGATTTTGCGAGGGGCGCGAGGGTGAGAGATATCAATGCAAATTGAATCGAGATGGGAAAGGGAAGGGGAGAGGGCGAGGAAGGGAGGCGAGTTGTAGGATATAGTTTTTTGTGTGAGGAGGAGGAGGTGGTGGTTTTCGATCGGTTAGGGAGGACGAGAATAGGTGTTTTTGTGTGAGGAGTGTGTTATTTGGTTCATGCGGAATACCATCATGACACACCATGCCACTACGATGCGTGAAGTCAGGATGATGAAAAATGTCACTTCTGTTAGCATACATTTTGCTTTGCATTTTCTCTTTTTTTTGGTGTGTGTATGCGTGATACGATATGGAGGTCAAGCAATACCTAATAAGAGCCAAATGGTTCGTTCCAGTCTTTACAGTGGTTTTTCTTTTGTTTTCCTTTGTCTTACCGGTTGCAATGACTTCCTGCCACGCTTCTCGATACTACGCAGATTCGAATTCGAACTCAATGGCACATTCTCATCATAGCATCACAATAGTTTCCTTAAGAGTGAAATCGTTTTCTTTTTAACCTAGCTATAAGCAGATATCCGCAAGGCAGACTACTCGACCTTGGTCGACTATGTAGATGAATAAATAACCCATCGCAGCAAACCAGATCCAGACCCAGCCTCCCTACTAACAAAATCAAATCTGCGAATGCAATCCGCAACTCCCCCGTATGAGCTACCCCTATATAATAAGTGAACCAATGACACCTGTTGTTATCTGCCTTGGTGCGCCCCCTTCGGACGGCTGCTATCTATCAACACATAGATGCCTCGAAGTAAGTAGGATGGTGTCTGAGGCTGAAACTAGAAAGTTGATGCTATAATACTTCTAGTTACAATCGGACTGGGTCCTCAGATATCCACCACCGAGTTTAGAAGTAGGTCGGAAGAAAGACCACTAGCGCTCAAGACTTCTGCTTCGTTTATCGCGAGTATTAGAGGTGGACTGTATGATAGAGTGCCTATGTCGGGCTTTCGTCCGTGATTTGGCCTATAGACCCCGAGAATTTTGCTGTTAAGAGCGACCAATTTCTATTGCTCGGTCGGTACGCAATCCTAGAGCATCCACCTCCTTTTCCATGTGTCTTTTTCCAGCCATCTTAAGCCACAGGTAGTCTCAACTCTCATCAATATGCTCTAGAAAATCTTTGCTATTGTTGTTGTTGTTGTTTGGTATGCACTTTTATTAAGTGGTTCTAAAAGCAAGTGACGACCATCTAGGCCGTCGACAAAGCACCGCGTGCCGCATCAAAATCGCTAGTGCCCATATATTAAGGACACATTAAAAGTTGAAAGAATCTAGCTGAAGGGTATCGAATAATTTTGTACTTCTTTCCACCGTTACTACCTCGAATGCCGGTCCTATGGCCTCAATGATGACTTCTTAAGGAAGAGTAATATAGGTCTGGGTGCCTGACTGGGCTGTTCGCTGTAGACGAACTTCCGAGGTGGCGACACTGGCCTCGCTAACAGGGAGCCGTAGATCTGAATAGTTGCGGCGCAAGTTCCGTCTATTACCGGAGAGGTAGCCTTGCAAGGAACGTCCGGAAGAACGCTCACCAGAAGCCGAGGCACTGTCTCGATTCGGTGTTTCGTTGTCTAAGGCATATCGGAGGACCGAATGGAGGAAGTCTGGTATCTCCTGCCAACGACCAGCTCGTGCTGCACTTAGCATACCCGATGGAAAGAGTGCCTGCGGGATGAGAGCCATGTTGGATTCTCGCACGATCTGCTCTGTGAGGAAGGGAAATTCGCCGGCCTCGATTGCATTCTTCAGCCACTGTTCCCACTCCTCATCTAGCGGCAGCGAGGTATCGCCGGCCTCGTGGCGTGCTGCTCTTTCGCGGAGTTGCTCGTTGAGAGGGATCCCGACGCTCGTCAGTTCACCATCGCTATCCTCTTCCTCGTCTTCATCTTCTTCCTGTTCACCATCCATGTCCTCGTCTGTCGTCGTCGCGACTTGTGGTAAGGTCGCGGCCTGCGTTGCGCGTGCTGTTTGCGGCCTGTCTTCAGGCTCAACCCACTCCGCAATATCGTCAAACGCAGTATCTTTAATAACGATTCCAGAATCACGCTCGAAGCGTTCCTTCGCCCACTTTGTACCTTCCCATTTTGTTAGGCTTGCGATTTCGGAGTCGGTCAGGCGCAGAGCATCGAACGCCCGAAATAGACGACGATGCCACTGCCAGCGGCTAAGTCGTATACGATGGACACGATTAGTATAGTCTAAGCCAGGGTACTTGGCTTCTTGAGTGTCAAGATGTCCATAGAAAGAATGGACTTCCTGGCGGACCTCCGGGATAATGTTACGGTGAAGGAGAGTATGGAAGTTCTGAGGATCGCTGGTTCGGGGCTTTTGGAACATGAACTCGTAAACGAGTTGGTCGACTGGGCGGCCCTTCATGTTGGCAGAATCGAACTGGGATGTTGAAATGGTAGAGATTCGGAACGAGTTGATCTGCTCGTTAAAATTTACTTGTCGGGTAGTAATGCCCGAGACAAGGCGTCGGATAGAATGTAGTCGAACGTAATAGAGGAAGTTTAAGAAGCGGAACGATTGTACCGGACTGCTGCAGACTCCGACGCTACCAATGGTAAGTTTCGCAATAGGAAACGGCGGAATGAACAATAATATATTTGCGTTTTGGTGTGTTGTTTAAAGGGGGTTCCAGTAACGTACGTATATCAGAAAATATAAAGATTTAGGTAGTCAGTTGGGCGAGTATGTAGAAGTTATGTTGCGTGTGAGGTGGTGTGGTGTGGAGAGACTTTAGAGACGGGGAGCCCAAATCGAGAGTGGGAAGAACGAGGGGGAACCGTGTTCCAGAGATGGTGTCAACTCAAGTCTATTGCCGCCAACAACAGAGGGCAGAGATGAGGAAGCGTAAATAATTGTAAATTTCTTAGATTTGTATAATTTCAAGATGTTGAACCTTATGGTAAAAGACGGATAAAGGCTTACCAAGTCAACTTCGGGAGAGGAAGAAAAAGTGTCCAAAGGTGGCTGTCCCGAGATACAATTCTGCGATTGTTACGGGAGTAGGGATATTTGCATGTGTCGCAGGGTATTTCAGGTATTGCAGATATTGCAGGTACTAGTTGGGTGGGTGTGTAAGCCGGTAGGTGCATTAGGTACTATACATAGCAGGTAGGATGGGCTCTGGGATGAGATGGAACCTAGGTAGGTACATACCTCTTAAGAAATAGGAACACAAGGTACTTAGGTACGATAGCCGAGTCCTAATTAGGATTGTGCGCTAGTACCTTTTCCCGCAAGGGTACCTACCGTGTTGGATGTAAAACGAGATCACACAGGTTCACAGGAAAAATAAAAAAGGAAACAACCAATCAAACACTAATTTGTGCATGTGTTGTTGCAGGGGATTGCCGGTCCAGAAGGGCGATGCTTAACAGGGATTCTCCATTGGCCCAGGTGTTGCTTTCTTATTGAAAGGTACCTAATATCTACCCACTATTTTGTAGTGAATTATATCTATCGTGATTGTATATGGTATGTATATACGGAGATGACTATGCTTAATAGGTAGCTACGGAGGTACCTAATATATCGCGCCTATTATATTTACAAATGTCTTGTTCCATCTGAAGTTGTCGTGGCTGTCCATAGTCACTTAAAATGCCATACTTTTAGGTGCCTATTTAGGTCAGGCAAGCCAATAGTTTACCTACACTACTAGGTAGTTACACGTACACATGCACTGCCTTGATATGTACATATGTATGCAAGCATCCAACCACCAAGAGGTAAATGTACATGTACAGATGCAGATAAGTTTACGCATCGCCTCCCTGGTTTTCTCACCTTACCTTGCCTTCTCCTACATATAAACCCTATCATTTCCACGAGGTTGCTTACTTCGGCCGAGAGAGATCGGGGAAGAAGACTTTGAGCCGCAAAACTCACACTACCCATTGACCATGACCAAGAAAGCTGACATGCGCTGAACGACGATATCCAACAAAATACGCATGCATTAATTCCTTTGTACTGTCTGAGATGAATTGAGCGAACAGTGCATCACCTGACAACCTAGCAGCCTGGCAGCCTGGCAGTCTAGGAGTCTGGGTAGAGACATTGCATATATTGCTCTATATACATAAGGTAACATGTTGCATATTATAATACAACAGTCTCCTACCCGATGTGACGGACCCTGAATTCTCGTTCCCCGCGCCCGCTCCGATCAACCCCTCCGTCTACATCCATGCGTCCGAAGTACCACCTTTTAAGCTTCCAGATTAATAAAATCTCCTCTCCATTGCTACGTTAGGGTCGTTAGGGTCGTTAGGGTATATGTAAGCCTGAGTGCCCGACAGTCCTTATCTCTTGCTAAACGCCGATTCTTTTTTTCTTCTTATCTCATAACGGCATTCAATCGGCGAGAATATCATATGTCAGGTGAGAACGGATTCGAATCTTGCACAACTGTTACCATGCCGAATGTAGGTACCTACCCGTGGACAAGGGAGGTTTAACGAAAGGAATCATTAATTACTACCTATGCATAAGTCTGAAGTCTAACCAACACGTACCGTATTTTTTCTTCTTTTTGAAACACAGCTTATTTATCAGAATGCTCTTGAAAAATGAGAAGGAAGCTACCCTAACATGTCAGCGATATTCCTATAAACTTCATTCCTTCCTTCCCTTAGGTTAGGTAGGTACCTTAGGTAGTTATGGGTTAATAAGCTATTTCATCATACAGGCTAGTACTGTATGATTTATAATCTCTCAAGTATTTCTAACTGTCAATCTTGTCTTCTAATCTAAAAGATACCTGCTTCCTTACATTATTCCATATTATCCAAACCCAAGCAAGGACCTCCAATTCTATTCTATATAATATAATCATTGGTAAAAACTTCGTATAATTCATAACATAGGTAATTAGACAACTCAGATCAACTACCCGGATTCTTCATCCATTGCTGCACGAACTGCGCTCCTCACTTTATTGCCAGCCGCCTCAGTCCGCGACCGGCTCCAAACGGATGCCTCGGGGCGAAGGGCCGAGATCCATTTCGGATCAAATGGGTTGAGCGCCTTTCCGAGATCTTTCCATACCCATATATGGACTACGATCTTGCCCTTAACAAGGTCTATGTCCACGCAGGTATCAGTGCAACAAAACCGACAGTTGAGAACATGATAGCCAGGTCCATATACGCTGTGCCACTTGGTCCATTTGCTACCGGAGCCTCCTAAAGGGTCGCGCCACTTCGATACATATGACGTGCCCGCTTTTATAAGTCCTCGCGTCTCTTGGAAGTCATATTGTTGAAAGCGTTGCCAGTAGTGCGGACAAGTCCTGAACGTCCAATCCTTCGGAGAATATCCCAGTATGGCATACTCGTGTCCGAACAAAAACTTTTGTTTCTTCGGTTCGATCGTAAATCGGATCGCTTGCTGAATATAAAAGGAGTCCTTGTACCAGTAAGGTTGGGTCCAATACCGAAACTCGGGCCGCTTGTTCCCATCCCCGGCCACGGTTCCGTGACACGCTAAGGCCTTGATTCTTTCTCTTTGTGTCTCGAGTGATGTCGCGGTCTGAACCCAATGGATATGATAGTATGCCAGAGCATAGCGGATAGAAGGGTGGATAGGATCAAGCGGATCAGCAGTGGAGTGGTCTAGATGTAATAAAGACCATATTCGTTCGCCGTCCTGAGCTTTATCGTATCCCGCCATATCTTGCTTAGGCGGCCCAGTGAGCCGCCGTACGAGGCCCAGGGGCTTCTTATCCGATGGGACGCATTTATTATACGCGATCGGTAGTTTGTGTGGGTTATGGCAAGAGCATCCCTCGGTAGGTCCGAAGACGCAAGGATAATTACCAGCCCAACCCCGACAGCTCTCGAAGTCGAAAGAGAAATTCATGTAATCTGATGACGAAGCCTCCTCATCCTTCTTGTCGTCACTTGTGTCTATATATTCGGGGTTAATCACAGCATACTGCCAGTTACTGTGTAAAAACCTGAAAATCTTGAAGCGACCCTCCCATTTCTTGGCCATCTTAGATGAACTCATTGGTATGATGCTGATTCGAGAAGCGTAAGATAATCAACGTAGAGTTGAAATAGTAACTCAATACAACCAGCTAGAATCATACATATAGCCCTTGATGGGATAACGATCTACAAGAGGAAACCAAGGAGACAATTTGAGGGTGTGGTAAATATATCCCCATAAAAGTTGATCAGATACCTTAAAGCTCCAGCTTTTACGCCCAAGCTCAACTTTATATTCACTATAGCCTCTCTAATTCGTTCCGTGCTGTAACGGAGCGTATCTTAGACATCGTACTAGACTGCTTAAAGTCTCGTAATGGTAAGAAGCGTTGATAATAGAATGCTAAATCTGGACCACTACTATTTACCGACGTTTTATATCAACAGATCTATATAAAATAAATAGAAGGCGGTAAAATATAAATAAAACTGTACTGAACCTCGCGAGATCCGACGGGAAAGCGATTCCAGCTTCATCGGATCAGCGCTACTCCCCATTAAACCTTATAGCGGTAGTTCAAGCGTTCACCCCCACGGCCAAAGTTAAAACTTCCTATGGGATTATGAAACCAAAGCGGCCTGAGCTTGCATGAGCCGATATATCTTATTTTATCAAAACTCTTAGTTTGGACCACACCCGAGCCCCCCTATTGTCAGCAGTTGCTGATGGAGTGACGACGCCTTGAGATTAGATTAGCCCTCTCATGTTTATAAATTTGCTTGTGAATTTATTGATATAAGCCTAGGCTTTGTACCTATACTTCATCGTCTCTCATTCTAATTGTAGCTAGCTCATAGTCTATTCTTGCAGTTACGACCATGTCGGCAGCCTTAGAAATGGACAGTTGACTTCTATTTAGGGGTAGCAACTATCGCTGTAGTGGTGAGACATGAACGGAGTCTGGGGCGTGTAAAAGCGTTGGACCATAACTATCATCACTCTTCCTCCATATACGCATCTCAGATATTATGTCCTATCAGGATGATATTCCCAAGATGCCCAACATGTGGCTTTGAGCGCTTAAGATCGTGACTTTGGTATTGTATAGGCCGATTTTACAGGAATGATAATGAATGTGTTTATAGCTAAGGGCTATGAACTTATGTAATTCATAGGGGCACGACTATGACACGTAGTATGTCTAGTATACTTCCTTCGAGGGAGACAAGGAAAGAATGATTTCACCATGCCAGATATGAAAAGATATATATATATATATATATATATATATATATTCATAAACCTCCATATTACATGACATGTCTCTTCATCAGAGGCTACCAGCTAATCCAACTTTCCCACTCTACTCACTGTAGAACCATGTACCAGGGAGTCTCTAATATGAGGTAAACAGGCTAAATAATTATTTACTGTGCACACTCCCGTCGCCCACCAAGGTCCCGCTCAGTCAAACTCCACGCACAAACAATATTTACAAACGTAACGAAGCAAATTTTCACTACAAGACGCCCGGTTAGCTCAATCGGTAGAGCGTGAGACTCTTAATCTCAAGGTTGCGGGTAAGTTACTCTTCGACCATCGGGAGTCTTCACGATTATATACTAACATCGCCTCAAAGGTTCGACCCCCGCATCGGGCTCAATTCCTGATGTTTCCCTGTACTGGGAAAACCAACACATTTTTTAAAAAAATTTTTAAATTTTTTTACTTTCAATATTTTTACAGTAGCCTTGTAGTCTGCCTCAACATAAAATACAGATATATACCTTCGTACATGTCATATTTGATTAGTTACCTAGACAAACGTATCCATCAAGCCTAGTAAATATAGTCGAAGCCGAACCACTCGATCATTCACGATATCTGTTTATTTTAGTTTTAGTTTTACTCAAATAGTAATTATCGATCATTAAGTCGGCTGAATTAAGCGAGTGGTTTATGAAAAAGATTTTGGCACTAAAACAATACTACAATAGTTACCATGATACGTACATGTAGAAGCTGAAAAAGAAGAAAAAAAGAATATGCGGCCACTCCGGAGTCCACTTTATTAAGTTCACCTCGACACGGGACTGTTCACTCTTGAAGTTTGAAAGGGTACATACATGTACGTACTAGGCTAAGAGCCTCACAGCTATCCCGTTAGGGCAATTCTTCCAATTCTTAGTCCTGTACGACGAAGGGACCATCCCATTGGGAGAGCGTATGCAGCTAACGAGAAAACCGGTACTTTGGGGCTTGCGGGTTTACGTATAAGATTTTTAAGTTTTAGGGGTCCAACAATCCACAAATTAAAAACTTGCAACAAACCACCATTTTAAACCTCCAATTTCATATCGGCCCTTCAATAACGGCACCATAACCCAACCATGCTTCGCTGGTACGTAGGATGAATGTCACCTCGACATATACCTATATTAAACGCTTTTCTGCTGAGCCGGTATATATATGATGAATGTATTGAACAATTGCTGATCGAGATGGTTCCAGGTACCAACGAAAGCTCGCCTCGCGGCCGTTGTTGACGCAGAGCGTCACTACCGCTGTGCTATTCGCCGTCGGCGATATCACAGCGCAGCAGGCCGTCGAGAAGAAGGGGCTTGAAAAGCACGAGCTTGCCCGAACTGGTCGCATGTTTCTCTACGGTGGCGGTATGTTTCTATTCATAATCTATCCCGTGTCAAGATACTTTATTTTTTCTCCAAGATACAATAAAATTTGGTATCACATATATCTCACTGCTCACACTTCATTCTTCACCAACGCATCTTTTACCCCACATTACCCCCAACTGACCGCTTCCAATTCCCTCACATGTCCCCCCTTTTTTTATACGCTCCCCCCACAACGGCTATATTCCGTAGCGAGGAATAAAAAAAAAAGAGGCACGCTAGCAAAGAAAGGAAAAGAGCTTAAAATTAATCAAATGAAATGAAATGACATGGAAAACAAGGAATAAACTTAGACGCTAACTTCCCCTCTAGCCGTCTTCGGCCCCGCAGCCACGACCTGGTACGGGATCCTGCAGCGCTCGATCCAGCTGCGCAACAAGAAGGCCGAGATGGTCGCGCGCGTGGCCGCCGACCAGCTGATATTTGCGCCGACCTTCATCGGGATATTCTTGTCGAGCATGGCGGTTATGGAGGGCGGGTCCCCTAAGGAGAAGCTGGCCAAGAGCTACGCGCCTGCTCTCCAGACAAACTACCTCATCTGGCCCTTCGTCCAGATGGCTAACTTCACCTTCGTGCCCCTCGAGCACCGCGTCCTCGTTGTCAACCTCGTCAGCATCGGTTGGAACTGCTACCTTAGCATGATCAACAGCCAGAAATGAGCGAGCCTGCGACCGGGTCGTTGACTTTCCTTTAGCTTGGGGAGGCTTTGGACTTGGGACCATGGACCGTGACGAGGCGACGTAATGGTGGTACTACCGTAGGACTAGCTTTGGAGCCGAGGGCTTGTAATGTCTCTCGGGATTTAAAAAGGTCCAGGGAAACTACGGCGATGGACTAGGCGTTTGTGGTCGGGCATTCGTACTGCCGGTCTATATAATAGTCTCCTGCATGTTGTCGTCGGCAGACTTCTTTTTCAAGCATGGGATCCACGGTATTACTATAGCATAGAATGGTGTTGGCCTAGAGCAGGGGATTGTTCCTATCGGGCAAATTTTACGTGGAACCGGTTTCTGTTCTCATCGGAGGACAATACTCGAAGAAAATTGGACTTGAAAGATATAATACTAGGTTTCCAATAGGTATATACTTTGAATGATATAGTGACACACTACCGGCGCCCTTGAGCCAACCGGATCCAATCCCCCTCCTCTGCCTATCGTTCTGGGTATCCAAGCGATTGTGTTCGTACAGAATTAGCATTACTTCATAATATGCGTCGAGATCGTGCGGCGGCCCCGCTAAGTACCGTAATCCTCCCAGCTAGCTGTTAAACTACCGGTCATGAGAAAAGGAACTCCTTCAAAACGGGTGATCCGGAAAACTCCGGATTCAATAGTATACAACTATATATCGTGATGTTAACACTCATTTCCCCAGTAATTGTTAGTTGATAATGGGAATTGTCCTACTTTAGGAAATACTGCAGACCCGCTCGCCGTCTCTCTAAAAACCTAGGCCGGAACTTCGATATCATGCTCTTGGGCGGTAGCTCAGGCACCGCAGCCTCGAAATTCGGAAACGTGCGGACTAGTCGCCATCGGAAGTCGTCGAACTCTGAATATCGCTTTCGGATGTTCATATAGCTTCCCTACAATTTACATATCAAAATATTAGCCCTGTTTTCCCACCATTTCCCTTTTTTATTTTTTATTTATTTTTCTCTTCGGGAATAACTCACGCTCAGCGTCTCGACTCTGATATTCCACACTACGAATGCGCCTATGTTGGTCGTGCTGCCGTTCACGACGACGTAGTCCGTTATCTCGACGCTCCGGGCCCAGCACGCATTGCCCCGGTCGTCGAGGCTGCTGCTTTCGTTGTCGCGTAGGGTGATGCCGCCGGTTGGGAGGGATTCGACGGACGCGGAGGACAATCCCCTCGCGTTGCTTGCGTGGTGAGAGTGGGTGTTTATCCAGTATGGCGGGGATGTTACGGGCGAGATCACAGGCGCGTCTTCCTCTGCTCGGCTGTCTGGCGACGATATATCCGTGGAAGATTCCGGCGGTGGCGGCGCATTGGATGCGTTGGAGTCGGTCTCGGTATCCGTCTCGGTTGTGGGAGGGGAGGGAGGCGGATTCGGGCGTAGTGTTGCTTGCGACAGGTTCTTGTGTATGATTTCGGTCGCGGCACCGCTGGCGCTCGGGGGTTGGGTCTCTACGATGGACGCCATTTGTTTGTGCGCGGGCGCGCGGGCGCAATGATAGCTGCGGGCTGGGGAGAGGAGAGGGTATCGGAGTGCGCGATTGCAATTGTAGAGTCGCGAATCAAGGGAGGATATATTATATTGTAATGCCGATCTGTTATAAGATCGAGCTTAATATATAGAGTGAGTGCGACGATAGATAGGTACCAATTGACGAAGGAATAAGTACCAGGTCAAAGACCAACAGGAGGACTAAAGTCTTTGAAGGGTTAAGGTTGCGCTAGGTTGAGAGTTGAAAATTCAATTCGATTAAACATGAAGTCGTACCCCTGCATTTGCTCATTACGGTGCCGCCGTTCAATTGGTGTTGCAGGGATCTATTGACGTGGGGGAGAGGAAACAGCCCACGTCAACGTTTCGGGGCTCGGCACTGACGATTATCAGGGGTTATGCTTATCGATTATCTATTTAGTGCTAGTTATGAGACTTCATTCTTATCGGTTGATACCGATACCAACTCAAGAATGCCATTCCGTCTTTTTCATAGTTTATATTTTTTATAATATGAGTTAGAGGCATTCCAAGCCTAGCTTTAGAGTTATAAAGTGGTAAACAACATATAGATTATATCCTCCAACTCTACTAAATCATAACTTCAATTGTGTCTCCTCAATGCTTAAGCTGTAAATATATTTGCATACCTGTTAGAAAGTTCTATGTTAACCGCCAGTTGAAGTGGTCTTCATGATTTAACTATAACATGAACTCTCTATGAAGCTTTCGTAGGTTTCAACTGACCTCCATGTTGATCGTACCTATTATAACAGAGAGGAATGCTATACCGTCACTACGCCACAATGATGAGACTTGTCATAAAATACTCAAATGTTCGTGAGTTCATATACCTCATGTGGGGTTAAAGGCAAGTATATCGTGAGTAATTTGTGATCCATCGGGTTTCTTATAAAGAAAGCTTCAAGGTGAGTGGCATGAATGGTTCTTGATAACTAGATTAGCAATTGATATCTATCATATCTGTGTCTATGTTGCTAAACCAGTTGAATCAAATATGTTTCTGAAATTAGGACCTGGGTTCATTGGAGATATCTTAAATGTACTGTCGATGAACAATATGGGCATCATTAGCTATCGACACTTGGCAATAACTATGTTAGTTGCATAGTAAACGACCTTGTTATCTAAGCTATCGGAGTCCATACTGAACTCCGACTGACTCTCAAGAGTAAGAAACACGCATCAACAGGTAGATAGTCTTTTATTATAAAAAGTACATAACTGGTGGGTGACATGCAACGAAGTGAATTAAAAATGATACCTTACTTGGATCTCTAAATAAGGGATGCGGTCTACCATGCGATATATCCCGTGTGTCTGGCTAACCCATATCCTCCGCCAAGGCGAGGATATGCTGCATGGGTTAACGCATAGGCAGATAGGTTAGGTCTCATAGCGGATACTCGTTGGAGTGAAGTAAAAGAGGCGGTAAACAATGTCCCATCAGAAAACTGTAGATCTATGAGGATGTTTATCCCTGAGATAGTAGAGGTACGGAGATCCCGTCGTGGACCACCGGGAATGTCTGATTGCGGATGAAGTTGTAATTCCGCCGTAAGGTCGGTATCATTCCGGGGTACTGTGTGTATTAGTATCTATATACACGTTGTACATCTGTCTTTGTCTTTGCATTGCGCCGAATCGTGCTGTGTGACATTTATCTTATTTTGTTTAACCTTTCTCTCCGTTTATATCTCCGATCTGAAACAGACTTCATGACGCGGAGGTCAAATTGCCGAGGAACAAAGAATCTGAGCGGACAGGTGGATGTATTCAAGTTGGTGGTTACGGGGTTAATCTATTGAGGAGACACTTACATATGTACGATTAACTATATTGATGAAGAAATAATAAATGCGCACTGTATATGTTGTATCATTCGAGTTAAGAAAATCAATCTACTAGAGACCTACCTAATATAGATCTGATGCGTTGCAGCGGCAGCGGGCATGGGAATGAATGCGTATGTATTAGAAATGCTAGAGGTTGGGATTTATCAGGCATCGTTGATCAGCATCGGTGGGTAATGCGGGGATTCCGGTCACTTGTTTGGGAATATAACGAACGATCACGGATGGGGAGTAAGTTAAGAAATAATACCAGGTAGTTATGTCTTATAATTGTTGTTAGTTGCGGGGCTACACGAAGAGCATACCTTTAGCTGCTTATTTTTATATGAGGCAGGCTTTGGAATTCGTATGTATTTTTAGCAAATGATCGTGATGTGAGGGCTAAAGAGTCATTTACATTAGGTACATAGTCGGAGTTGGGATCGTCAAGCAAGTCAGCCTCTAATCCAAAATTGACCTACGACACTCGAACACAATATCAACAGAATGGAGCCGAAGGTAGCGGAATGGCTTCGTATGTAAAGAGCATGCATGAGTAGAGTCCCGTCTCACCACACCATCATCCTCCTCTAGTTAAGCGAACCTGAAAATACGGGACAAATCGCATGCAACAGAACGCTTCGGATTCTGCAGTCCAACCTCTTCTACCTGCAATACGAGGATTGACGCCTCTACTAGCAGAGCCGATGGTACGGCAAAACGAGGGCAAACGAGGGCAAACGAGGGCAATGGCAAAAGTCGCTTTCCCTAAACGGCATCTGACTCCTTTCTAGTCCAATGAGAATGTCCACAAGACCCCCCGAGAAGCTAAGACTCCCCATATTATACCTTAAAAGCCGTGATATGGTTCCGTTAGGTAGGTTCTTGCATACATTAGGTACATAACATACACTTACACATACCTGTTTGTCTATCTACCTACCTAATGTATCTATAGGTTCGTACGGCGATAATTAAGTTACGGTCAATATTGGATGACGCTCCAACCTTAAGGGTATCGAACGATGAATGCAGATGATCAGCAGCGCAGGCTTTTTTTTCTTCTCCTATAACCCGTACATAAAGTACAATACAGTATTATACATACCTCATTACATATCATATATATGGTTATAAATAAGCTAGACTCTTTCGATACCTTATTTTCCGAAAGTAAAGCGTGGTGTAAGCCAACCGTTTTTTTGGCAGGTGAGCCGAAAGGGACCCTTCTGAGGCTCTGAAACTAGACGGGGGGGTTTGTTAGCTGTGAGCTGGGGGGAAGGGTTCGCCGGTGCAACCTGCCCGGACGGTTGCAGGGAAGCAGGACGGCGCATTGAATTTTGAATTAACCAGATGGCGTTTTTTTGTGAGAGATCGCCCGCTCGAGACCCTGAACTTGAAAGATCACGAAGCCAACACCTTGGTTTGTTCGCTATTTAGTTACTTGTATTTAGTCCGTACTTGTATTAGTCTATTCTACCCACGTGAGATTTGAAGCTTGGAAATGCTCGTCGTCGAATCTAAGCCAAGGTTTTTCAAGGTCACCGTTAGGGTTTTTCAAGGAAGTGGCCTCGTAATGTAAAAGACGAAATCGATGACAACACGACGGGTATAATGTATTCCGTCTGGAACTATCGTGATTTTTGTTTTACCGGCGTCACTGTGGTGCAATTCGCCTACTTGCGCATGTTAGACAGTATAAATAATAGAACATATAAGTCGATAGCTACCCATGATCCCTGTCTAGTAGATAGCGAACAGCCAGTAATAAGAGCTTTAGGTGCTTGGGGTCTTGGAGATAGCGCTGAGACCACCACCCGGACAGGGAATACCTCCTTTTATTTTCCATGTTTTTTTTTGGTCATGTACCCCGTACAGTATAATATCTTATAATACTTGCGAGCGCCGAGAACAAGAACCCCGGTCTCCCCATCTTATCTTGGAGAGCTCCCAGAACTTCTCTTTCTTTGAGAACATTCCTCTCGTTCCCCCTTCGTATCCTAGACACCGTTCCTCTCGTTTTTAAACTCGGTCGGTCGTCAGTCAATCGTTATTTCTAATATTCTTTTTTTGCATTTAATACACTAATTCTTTCCGCTGTACATTGCCTTTAATACTACACAGTCGTTCTAATTAGAGAGAAGAGAAACGAGTAATATCAACTGTCACAACCGTCCTCGTCCTACCGTAACACCTAATTCGACCATCACAATGTCTTCGTTAAGGAACATCTTGGCTGCGACCCTTCTCTTGGTCTCATCGGTTCAGGCCGATTATGTCATCGACCCCAGCAGTGTGTCGTTGACTATCAGAAGTACGTCCTACAATACCTGCCCTGGGCACGTTCCGATCTAGTGATTCTAACATGATCTACAGCGAGCTGGTGCCAGTCCGAGAAGAGTACCTGCCCTATAATCTGCTCACAAACGCCGCCGGGAACCACCTTGGTCAACGACTGTGATCCGGTAAGTTTTAGAACAGACCCGGACGGTTAACCGTTTTATATTAATATTTTCCCTGTAGAAAGCTTTGACCTACGGCTGTGTGTGCGGAGACAATAAGCAACCGAACGTGTCCGAGTACTCGCTTACTCTGCCGTACTTCGTCTGCCAGGAATGGGGTGACCAGTGCGTCAAGAAGTGTGGACAGGACAACAACTGTTCCAGGGCGTGCCGAGAGGACCACCCATGCGGTGCACAGAACCCGACGAGGTCCAACGCCACAACATCAAGCGCGGGCCCCACTGCCACAGCCAGCGGTACCGATTCTGACGACCCTAATACTGTTTACACCGGTCTGGCCGGCAGCAACGAGGGTGGGGGTAGCGACGGCAATGCGGCTTTCCGAGTAGGTGCTAATGATGGCCTATTCGGGTTTGCCATTATTGCCGCCAGTGTAAGCCTTGGTGTCTTCCTGCTGTAAGGAATGAAGAACGGGGGAACGCTTTCAGCCTTTGAAAAGCAGCATCTCGAAAGGGCTTCAATCATATGCCGCGTCTAATAACTGTTAAAGCTATCCCGTTATGACAGAACATACCTCCGAAAACGCGTGAGCGCATTCTTCGTCTCATACCTGAGAGCGGTGACTTAAGTCATCTAGTCAGAGCGGTTGCATCTGATACCTACCGCATACTGATATAATATTGTGTTTAGGAGCATGGGGGGTTGAAGCTTGGAAAACCTTGCATTTTTTTGATTATGGAAGCGTAGATGGGATATTTGGACATACTCTTATGCTATACATAGCAGTCTACTTAAACAAAACGACATCCCGCCGAGGGACAATAGAGCATACAAGGCTCAAAACTAATAATTAAATGCATGAGGCCTGATCTCTATATTAGGCCTTCACTTACACGATACTCGTTTCTCTATTAGTTGATCTGATGCGTGACGTTAGTCTTATGTTGAGTCCCATCATGACATAGTTGGGGGCGATTTGAGTTGACATATCTTGGATAACACTCTCACATGTCAACGCATTTAATCAAGCTTAATAATCTGATGGGCCAGTAATAATTATCATATTCTTTTAAACATACCTATGGGATTTGTTCCTGAATATTGAATGGATTGACTAACAACTTAGGCTTTATTCAATGGAATCTGCTAAAAAGTAAGGTGAAAAAATAAAAATAAAATAGGGGCATCGCAAAAACTTTGCGATTTAATTCGTCTTGGTTTGATTCGTGTAACCCACGTTCTTGGATATGACACCCTATTTGCATGTGGGACTCGTTATGTAAGACGAAAATCATCTCGGCCCCACCATAGTGCATATAGAGGTAACGGCATAAGTACATCCGAATGTAAATTATTCTTCCACTTCTGCACGTTGAAAGCTGCCAACTTATACAACACACCGACTTGCCGACCTACAACCTACAGACCTACAAACCTTCGTGACACATTCGTTCTCCTCTGTATTTCTTCTCTGTGACTCGTCTTTAATACATATATCCCATGGAGTTGATTAATATCTACTTAACCTGGGAATAATCATTCCTTTCTGTTACCAAGTTCGTCTAAAAAACTTGCAACCAATAATTTGACTGTCGCGGACAAAGTTTCGAGGTGTCACGGTATTTTCACTTCGTTAGGTACCTCTCCTACAGTTCTACAGCCTCCGAGCTGATCGCAAATCGTCCTGCAGCTATCGAGTAAGCAGAGAAGTCCTGCGCGCCACCATGGCCCCGAATAATAGCAGTACGTACAACCTTGGCGTCCTCTCCCATCCTTGGCGATTCCTCATGTCTGACATGAAATCCTTGTATAGAAACAGCCGTCGCCGAGTGCATCTCGGACGACGCTCTCATTCATCTCAAGTCCTACAAGTACTCGGCCGTCGACAAGTCGCCCATCTCCAATTATATCCTCCGTCCCTACGTACGTACCGAACTCCTATTCCCGCCTTGACACCGAATAGTACTAAGAGTTGGATTAGTGGAATGCTTTCGTTGAGCTTCTGCCGTTATGGCTGGCACCCAACATGGTGACCCTGATAGGGTTCATGTTCATTCTAGTTAACATCGCCCTACTAGTTATAGTTATGCCAGATCTGGTGGGACCGGTACGTAGTATTGCGATTCTGCACAATGTCGATCGCCCTTTGACTAATAACATCTACTTCAGGGTCCGTCATGGCTCTACTTTAGCTTCGCCTTCGGCCTCTTCATGTATCAGACCATGGACAACATCGACGGGAAGCAGGCGCGCCGAACCGGCACATCGAGTGGCCTGGGAGAACTGTTCGACCACGGCATCGACTCCTTAAACTGCACTCTTGGTAGCTTACTAGAGACGGGCGCAATGGCGCTGGGAACTTCGAAATCGGGCGTCTTTACCGCCCTGTGTCCCTGCCTGCCTATGTTCTTCTCGACCTGGGAGACGTATCACACTCACACGCTGTACTTGGGTTATTTCAATGGCCCCACCGAGGGCCTCCTAATCGCGTGTAGTCTAATGGCGATTTCAGGCATCTACGGACCTGGCATCTGGACGGAGCCTATCGTTAATATTGTAGGACAGAAGTACCTTTTCGGGTTTGACGAAATCGTCGCGGATCATTCGATTCGTGATATCTGGATCCTCGTGATCGTGGCTTCACTCGTATTGGGTCACATGCCGTTTTGCGTTCTCAACGTCGTTAAGGCAAGACGACGGGATAATCTCCCAGTCCTACCGGTATTCCTCGAGTGGATCCCCATGGCCGTGTATACCTTCTCGATCGGCGCATGGCTATACTCGCCGCACTCGACACTTATGCGCGAGAACCACCTGGTGCTCTTCTGCCTGACCATGTCGCTCGTGTTCGGGCGTATGACGACCAAGATGATCCTCGCTCACCTTACCCGTCAACCGTTTCCGTACTGGACCGTGATGCTGGCGCCATTGGTGGGCGGCGCCTTCCTAGGAAACCTCCCGCGGTTCGGTCTTGCACCTATCTCCGCCGACCTCGAGCACTACTACCTGTGGGCTTATTTCGTGTTTGCATTCATCGTATACTTCCGTTGGGCGTACCTGGTCACGAACAGTATATGCAACTTCCTTGGCATCAACTGCCTCACCATCCCTCATGAGAAGCAGCTTGAGAACAAGCGGAAACAAGAGCTTCTAGCGAACGGCGCGGCTAACGGGAAAAAGTCACAGTAGATGCGTCGGTTCGCTCGGTTGCGCGTATGCGGTAGGGAGATATGGAGTTGGGGATATAGTGGGTACGACGTACGATTCTGGAAAGATGCCCCCTTTTATCACAGGGATCGGCGCTGGCTTCTACGCGGAAGCTAGCCTCTCTCCGCTCTTACATTACTTTGTTGTAATATACTAGAAAAAGAAACAGGACTATGTAGATAGGCAGGCATGGCTTCACTCGGCGCACCGGACACCGCGGCTTCGTAGCTACGCGAAGCCTGGGTTGGGGAGAACAGAGGATAGGGGAAGGGGAAGGGGAAGGGGAAGGGAGTCTGGTTGAGATAGAAGCCGGGGCTAGACCGTGTACATGTACGGACGATAGAATCATTCTCTCGGCCTCACGCTCAACAGCGGGCTGGGATTGGGTACGATGCCTCTCGGATTACTAGGAGAGGGCTCGGTAATTAATGGTGATTGCATTTGCATTGCGGTGGTGGAATGTTTTGAATAGAGGTGGGATAGTAATGAGGGAGTGAAATGAAATGAATTAAAAAAGAAAGCCCTTCCTTCTATATCTAGGCAGTGAGGGATTATTATCTGTACTACTGTGATACTCACTTGTTTGCTATATCTACAGCTTAGTTTAAGTTGATTGTGCCTAACAATGAGATAGGGGATGGAAGATGAGTTGAGAGGTAAGAGTAAGACAGCGCTTGACCTAGACATAAAATATGTGTTTTATGTCTTGTTAAACATCCTTTTTTTGATCTATCGTAATTTTAACAGTTCCTTGTATTTCGCGCGTCGACGCCATAAATACATTTATCATCAAATCGCGATCGCGCGCGTTCCAGGCCACGCGAGTCAGAAAACCGGTTCATCCCTTCATATCCTTCTTGACATGGTAACCCACTACCGATAACGACATGTAGCCAGCTACTACGTAGGTCCCGCTCACCTCTCCCCGGCCAGCCGGCGGCGCCGCACCTCACCTAGGGCCTTGGAGCCGCTGAAGAAGATGCTGACGGAAGCGAGGCCGATGAAAGGTAGAGTCTGGAATAGGTTCCACGTAGAATAGTACAGGAAGAAGACAAGCTCTATGGCGGCGATAGATCCTAGGAAAGTGCCGTGCGCAACGGGGGCGGCGCTCAGGGCTGTGGGTAGATGCGAGAGGTTGCCGCCGGTGATACCCCACTGTGTTCCGTGTTAGCAAACTCCTATGTATGCCGTTATACTAGGGGATGGATCGTGAACGATATAACAAAAAGGAAGGAAGAGGGGGAGGGTCAATACGTACGGTAGTAAGTAGAAGCGGGACGGTGGCCAAAACGGCGAAAACAAAAATGATGGAGATGAGCTTAGGCGGGCTCTTGGGGTCGTCGCGGAAGATATGGTGGATCTCGTCGAGCTTGCCGTAGCGCAGCGGCTTCTCGTAGACGAGGGGCTTGGCGGCCGGGTCGCGCACGATATCCACGTCGAAGACGTCTTTGACGAGGCCGGCGGAGGAGCCGAATGAGGCGATGACTAGGGATGCTTTGAGGGGGGCCGTTGCGATGGCGAGTTGGAGGGGGAGGTCGCTGTGTTTCTGGAGAGGTGGGTGGTGTTAGTTAGAATATAGTGGAAGTAGTAGAGTGGTAGGTAGATAGAGGATAGACGATGGAGGAGGAGGAGGAGGAGGAGGAGGAGGGGATTAGAACGCACGATTTCAACGGTCGCCTTGCCATTGTCTTTCACCGTCAACGGGAACGGGGCCTCGAGCCCGGAGCTCGGCTCGCGGAGCACGAGGAATGCCTGGTGAGGACGCTTGCCCTTGCCGTTCTCCTTGGCTGTTAAGATAATCTTCAAGCTGTCGGAGCTATCGAACACGACGGGAGTTGGGAGGACAGGTGTCTTGTCGTTGAACCTAATAAACACATTGAATTGTTAATTAGCCTTCCAATCCAATACAATGTACCCAAATAATAGTTCATCTCCAACATACTGTCTAATATCCGGCTCCTTGGTCCCGGTCTTCTTGGCCGTCACAGTGAGCTTCGCATCGTCGAAGCCCCAGGACGAAGAAGCTGCTTGAGCGGCGCCGGCAGCTAAGAGCAGGAGGGGCGCTGCGAACGAGTGTAGGAATCGCATTGTTCGGCTTGCCTGGGCTGGGCTGGGCTATGCTGTCTTGAGTGTGGTGGTGGTGAAGGTAAAGGTGGTGGTGGTAGTGGTGTAATGGCAGCTTCGGAGGAGTTGTTCAATGTTGCAACAGCTACCCACTAAGTGACTTGCTAAGTGACTTGCTGGAGCTTCAATTGAACACAATATCCGTTCCACTCTTTTTTTTCTAGCGACAGTTCGCTACTATCGATGTGGCTGACGTGGTTTCTGTTTATCGATAAGAATATGTCCTGGATGGTGATACAGTGTTAAGGCTTATACAATTCACACGGTCTTTGTAGAAGATAGGTTCATTAATACACCCCTTTTTAATTCTGTATTTTATTCTCTACTATGTAGTAGACACATCATTCTAGCAAATATCATAAAGCATATCAAGTTTATAATTCCGATCTGCTCCTAATAGCTTGCTCCTTCTCCCCCGAAGACGGTTTGCTTATAAAAGCATCTAGCTCCATCCACTCTGCCGTAAACGCAGTAACTATCTTTGCCCAGTCGTCCAAAGAGTCTATATCTAGATGCTCGCCGTCATCATCCATAGTATGCCACGTATCCGGGAATGGCGAAGGAATAATGTGCAGCACATCGACTCCTCGCACCATAAAAGGAACGTGGTCATCCCCGATGTATGCTTTGGTGAACTGCGATGCTTGCTTATCTGAGTCCGGCAAGAATGGATTTTTCGGTTTAGTCTTTAGAAGACCTAGTTTCCGCATTCTCTCTTCTATCTTGGACATGCCTTGGTAAGCCCAATGTGTCGATTGGAAGTACGAGGGGACATGAGGGTCTGCTGCTCCGAGAAGATCAATGAGTAAAAACAGATTGATCGAATCAAGACGGGTTCGATATGCCGAGCTACTTGAGTGAAACTCAGAGTCCCAGCTTTCCGCAAGTGCTCGAGCACCATAAAGGGAGTCTGTGTCAGTCCAGCTGACCCAAGCTTCTTCTCCATCCAGGAGTAGAATCTGAACGCCCTTTTCTTCCTCTAGGCCCAAACCGGCATCGCCAGATTCCTCCATAGCTTCCCACTTCTTCGTTAGAGCTTCATCGATACTTCGTGCCACGTGCATTAACACGGCGCAGGGAGCGGCGCTGTCCGTAGCTCCGATGAATCCCTCTGGGCGGTAGAGACTATCATAGTGCGCAACCAGCGTCAAGCGACCAACATCTCCGGCTTGCGTCCAGGGCGGATCGCGGGTGATGATGAGATTCTTAAACGGAATGTCCGTGCTACCTGTAGCTGGGGTCTTTGCCGTCGAGTTGTGCCAGTCGATATTCCATTTTGGAAGTTGGTGAGAGAAAAAGTCTACAAAGTGATGCTGTACGGCAATAGAGCCCGGGGTGCCAGGTACCCGAGGTATCAATATAGGCGATAAGAGAGATCCGGTCTTGATGTCGAAGTCGTGAGCGCCGCTAGGAATATAGCGAAGTGTATCATTCGACAGTTCTTCATACGCAAAAACGTGAGCCGAGAGAAGGAACACAAGCAATGCAATAGTCCCGATACGAGCCCATTGAAGGGAATCTTTTATATAACCCATCGAGACTTGCAGTAATACACCCAGCCTCGTCCCACCGACATTAAAACACCAAAACACATTACGACCGCGAAGTTGACGTGGCAGGGTTTAGAAAGTGGACAGTGTGTTATAATAATTGGAAATTGGCCAAGAGGTACCTAAGTATTTCGTAGCTTTTTCTTTCCGGCTGTGGATAAAACTTCCGAGTACCTGCGCTAGTAGCGATCTGTTAGACGCGATAGGCGCTACTTGCAGGGACAGCCCATGTATGTACTACCTAGGTTATCTTAATATGTACCTCCTAAAGGACTTACATGCTGCCGCTCAACTATAAATTTCCTAAAGACTTTGTGCTATATTTAAGTATTAAAGAGGCTTCGAATCCCCTAGATATATGAATATCTTTTAAATCTCGTCTATGCTTACCTCTTAGAGGTGAAAATGCTTTGCTTAAAGGGCATAATTAGTATAAGCATTCAATGTTGACTTCCATGAGAACCACATGCATCAAGTTTATCTTCCGAAATACAAACAACCTTACCTTATCCTCCAACCAATCGGAAAATTGTTTAATTGTTAGAACAAGATCATTAAGTGTATAGTTTAGAAGGCATTGCTCCGTGGCTTTACATATCTCATTTTATACATTCCTAAAAAATACTCTTAGCTAGCTATCCTTTATGATTCCCTACAGAACAACCAATCTACCAACAGCTTCCTCCCCAAAATCACCCATCTCCTTTAAAGCAGCATCTACAGATGATAAGGCGGTCCAGAGCCCTCAACCGTAGCATAAACAGCCTCAATAGCATCCGCAAGCTCAGCAGGAAGCGGTCCGGCCTCAAGCGCATCAAGCGTCTTTTTCAACTGATCTAAATTCGAAGCAGCGAAGATGACGCCGTCGCCATACTTTCCGTCCAGCACACTGTGGAACGTCGTCCACCGCAGCGCAGCCGCGTGTCCGCTGATCCCGTATTTCTCTGCGGCCGCTCGGACCACGTCGACGGATGCCTGCACCGGGGGCTGCCCGTATACGGTGCTGTATAGTCGTCCGATTTGGTTCTGGGGTAGATAGTGTTAGGTAGAATGATCGGGGTGTTGCTAGCTAGCTAGCTAGCTAGATGCTAAGGGCACTTACGTCGTCTTTCCACCGCGATGAGATGGCGGATTTTCCGGCGTTGCCGGTGAAAATACCGCCTGCGGCAGGACTAATCCCAAGCATCAGCTAAGTTGAAGACAGAACAGTTGAGATTTCTGATATTTGTTTACCTGTAGGCAAAAAAGGAGATGTTGTGTTTACGCAAAAGCGGGAACAGCGCCTTCTCGCCTCCCCTGACCAGCGCGTTGTAATGCCCCTGGTACAAGCTCGGCTTCGCATAGCCCTTCTCCTCGGCGACGTCGATGAACTTCTGCACCTCGTCCTCGGTGTAGTTGGACAGTCCGAATCGCTTGTACTTGCCCTGCCTGACGCCTTCGTTGATCGCCTTCGCCGCGTCCTCGATGGACGTCTGGCGGTCGGGCACGTGCAGGTACATAGTCTCCACGCTGGGGGTCTTGAGGTCCTCGAGGGATATCTTGATGCTCTGCTCGATCTTCGCGGGCTCGTGGGACCCGGGAAGCCCGTCCTTGACCTTGGTGTGGATGACGAATCGCGACGCGGCCCCGGCTCGCCCGAGGCGCTCCTCGGAGCCGGCGTAGTTGCGCGCGGTGTCGAGGTCCCTGTAGCCCCGGTTGTAGAATGCGTCTAAGAGAGCTTGAACTTCTTCTGGGCTGTCGAAATGAGCAATTCCGGGGCTGTTGACCTTGCTGCCCACCTGTAGTCATGTTGTTAGTAATAATTGCTCGTAGGCGATAAGACGTACGTACCATGTGGGTGCCGAGAATGATCTTTACAGGTACTGAGGGAGCCATATTGATTAAAGCAAAGCTGTTTAAAAGACTTGGATGCAGATAAGTTTATTTTGATATGATATGGAATGAGATGTGCTTTATAGAATTGTGTGGCGGCCCATCGACTTTATAACATAGGCGGCCTCTACATCCTCCAATGTCTCACGTCGAGTATTATACCTCGTTTTAGTTTAATCATCCATGAGGCTTGCTTTGAAATCACTCTAAATATTCCCAAGCGTTTTTTTCTCGGAGCTACTCATATTGGGAAACTCCCCCTAGTGACGTGATCGACTGATTGATTGGACATTCCGCTATAATTCCGCAACTTTTCCGCAAATTGGCCGCATCTTGTCCGCTATGACTAAAGGGATTAAGGCGCATCTTGAATCAAAGCGACACACGCCTTTTCACGAATATGACCGGACGAATATTTACACCGAATTAAAATAAGATTTTATATGTAGCAAGCGATTGTTGTCAGGTTGAGGATTCTAACGACTTGGTGTTTCTGTCTTGTTGAGATTTTCTTGGCTTACAAGATAACCCAATTAGAGATTATTGAAATGAAAGCCAGTGAGTATAATATGCTATTATTATAAATCCTTAAGATATTTTGGTATTGTTGAGTAATATTTTGATTAAGTCGGTGAAGGGAATTCATAAAGCCCCTTTTCGCAGGTTGAGGCCAACCATGGTTTAACTCTGGGGCGTTGCTTAGTATGAGAAGGCTAACTTGAGAATCGATTTAAGGTGAAGTATTGGTTATTTTGAATTTCAATGTCTTAGAGTAAGCCAGCTTGTAGATCACATAAAAAGAAAACAGGATTTATAATGAGTATTTAAAACCATCGGCATGATTTGAATAGTTAGTAATGTTATAGGATATACTATACTCCAATTGCCTTATTACTCTTGTCAATCCAGCATTTCATCTTATCCGTGCCGACTACACACGTCCAAATCACCTTTACCAAATCATCAAACTCATCAGCGTTATACTGAGAGATAAGCGGCCCAGGCTGCAGAGACGGCACCAGAAGCGGCTCTTCCGCCGAAGACAACTCAACCCATTTCACCGCAGAGTCCGCTTCCCACAGCCCGCGACGAGCCGTAAACATAACAGCGCCGGTACAGTTAGCCCACCCCTTAGTCAAGACTTCGTATATATTGGAGATAGTATCGATGATAAGCTGCGAGCGCCGTACACTTTCGATCAAAATCCACAGCTGCCACATCTTCGAGGACGCGTCGTATTCTCTGTCAAACTTACTTACGGTCCACTGAGGCGGGAGATTGTCCTGGGCGAAAATATCTTCTCCTCTGTATCGCTTCGCCGCCTCGCACATCTGGGTCACCCATTGCCGCAGCGTTGGCTGCTGCTTCTCGGCGTGCGCGCGCGAGCGCACCGAGCCGTCGAATAGTAGTATGTATTGGTAGACGAACAGGGCATGGATACGTGCCAGTTGGGCCCGTAAGCCTTGCGAGCCACCGGCAGCACATGGACCTTGGCTTGCGAGTGCGGCCGAGCGCCACTCGGCAATCTGTAATATCGTCTCCCTCATCACTGGTGTGCGACTAACATACGTCGCAAGCGTCGTAAATGCGTCCTGAAGACACATAGGCATGCCCCTATCATACAACCGCCGATGAATAAAGCTATTATAGCCGTTCCGGACCCAGAAATGCAGCATTTCTTCTACCGCGTGGATGAAGGGCTCTAACTCGAGATTGGCAGACGTGGACGGTTGTTTTTGCCCGTGCTGCATGATCCACGTCTCGTCTCCGAGAAACCAGGGACATGGCGTGCTGGAGATATCGTCGCTTTCAAGTGCGAGTCTTTGGGTTGGCTGGTTGGCTATATGCGCCGGTGGGGATGGGATGTATGGCATTATTACGTCCGACAGGGAGACGTCCAGGTCGGCGGCTTCCATAACACCCCAGTCCCCGAAATCGAGACCGCTGCCCGGAACATCGGCGTCGGCGTCGGCATGGTTCTGAATTGTGGGAAGCTCCTCAGGCTGATTAACACGCGCAATCGGATTTCTCCGTCGCCTTTTAGGTTGCGGGTAAACGCAGTCCACGTCTCTGTCTAGACACCGCTGGCACTCGGGGAGCTGCTTATCGCATCTGCGCTTAGAGTCCGCACAGGCGATGCAGGCTTTCTGGCGGGGAATTGCGGGCATTCTGCGGAAGACCAAACACTCGAATATTTTGGGACACTCGGTGTAAGTCTCGATGGGATGCTACTTTTCGGCCGATAGAGGGTTATGAATTATGTATGTACATAGGTGCTAGTCCCCCTTTTCGAAAGTGCTTACAAATACATACGATAGTCCTGAGGTTCAGGGGAGCCTGGGAGCTGAATCGATGTGGGGTAATAATACGTATGATATCTGCACCATTAATGTTGATTATAATTTATATTCTGATACGAAGTATGGTATTACATATGACACCATAATCCAACCCACTAGCAATCGAGAAAATATTGCCATTAATAACACCAAAATACACGGACTAATATGACACGGCATAGGTCCTATCTAGGGGACTGGCCAAACAAGTAGAGCTAACAATCCGCACACCATGCCATCCAGCAACAACATAAACATATCATGCAATCCAGTGCATCGCAGTCGTCTTCGTCGTCGTCGTCATGCTTTCGCTTCCGCTTGCATGAACGTTTGCTTGAAGTGCTGGGCGGCTGAGGGACGGCAGACGATTGAGAAGGCAACAGCGGTTTCTCATCTTTAACTTCGGATTTCTCCTGGGGTTTGCCGCAAGGGCGGCTAAGGCAGCAACCCATGAGTGCTCTGCTCCAGTCTTGTTGTTGCGGATGGTACATAAGATGAAGTTAGCAACGAGGGTATGCTTGCGTAGACCCCTAGACTGCTGATGGGTAAGAAAAGGGATGGGCCTTTTTGGGAGGGTTAGGTTGTGTGCGAGTAGCAGTTAGGGGAGATAGGTTGGCTATGATGGAGAAGATAGGATTAAAAAACGAGAAAATCTGATTTTAAATAAAGCCTTTTATCGTATCTTTTTGCTAAGCAGATCCGGGGGTCTAATTCGAGTGTTTTAGGTGCTCAGAAGGTAAGTGACTATGGAGTTGGATCATGATAGTCACAACCTTAGCCTTAGGTATACCGGACTCCTTATTGATTGTATCATGACTATTGATGAGACATCTATGATAAGTAATGTGTCTAGTATGTATACCTGTCGAACCTAGTGACTGGTTTCTATAACTTGCGTTCGGATCCCTCGTGGAACAACGAAGTTATTTCTCTGGTTGAAGCATACTAACTTGAATTACTCGACATTGCTGAATACCTGTCATAAGGTAAAATAGTCAGTTTCTTATATTTCAACTTACAAGAGTTAATTTATATTAATACGACGTGGATAGATTTGTATCTAACCCATAATAAAGTTGTTCGACAACTCACAGATTTTACCCTTATCGAGTTTTAGATGCTGCAGGATATTCCACCGGATAGCCGCCAGGCTATTGACCTTAACTATTCCTTCAACTTCTCTTTAAATTGATTTACTATTGTTATTGGTTGAGTATAATGTCGGTCATGTGACTGAGCCCAGCATGTTGGGTGCCTGATTACCTACCTGATATACAGGAAACTATACACAGGTCTGCACTTGATGGAAAGAGATTTAATTTAATGGATAGACTTTAGTGGATATAATAAGAGCTTATATTCAATTATGTGAATGATTTCTATAGTCTTAATCACTCCCTTTATCAACTATAGCCTGCTGAGTCACTTGTCTGCCTAGTCAGACACAAACAGGGGGTCTGGTGACATGCAAGGCGTACTGTCCAGATCAGCTGCCACGAAGAGAGGCTGGATGAAATATAATTATATATTTACTCTCTTTTCTCATTCTTCTTCCTTTAGTATCGTAACCTATAACTTAGCTCCCCGACCCCATAAGCACCAACCCCAACCGACGAATCCAACAAGAAAACAACCCATCCCTTTCCTAGCAATATTAGAGACCACACAACACAAGCATTCCATCGCGGATATCCTACCAAAACCGGGGTAGAAAGGTACCATGGGCAATTGCATGAGCTCCCCGGCACCAAGCCATAGCCCATACCACAGAAGCGGAGCTAGATCCGGTCATAGATCTGGCCATCGGCATACTGCTGGCTACTCGTCAGGCCATTCGTCCCGACGAAGACCAAGAGCCGATGTCCGGATAGGCGAGAGAGATGTCGTAATTGAGACGTGGGGGGACTTTGACTGAAGGGATGTGGCTTGGCGGTAAAGCAGGAGCGGATACACGCGGTGCGTCTGAAGAATAGGGATTTACCACATACATCAAGAGCAAGCCGTCGTAGAGCCTTACTGTTCGCTTCTACGAGGCTATGTCTTCATAATTATTAATAAATATCACTTCCCCGAAATTTAGTTTTGACAAGTGATTTGAATTCTTCATTTCATTTCTCTTGATAGACTTTATGTGCATGGCTATGATTTCCGTGTTAATGATACATCTTGTGTGAAGAGTGAATCAAATTTGACGAAGACACGATAAGTTACAATAATAGATATGTTGCTATCGACGGAATACAACATAGACGATCTACCTTTTAGGGGGCCTTGCGACTACTTAATGTTGCATGATGGTATATACACGAAACTTGTGTCGCGATTGTGAGAACCGATGATCAATTAATTATTTCAATATTATATATTTAAATACAGTTAGCTATTGATATTTCGTACTATTTCATAATATAGACCCCTGACATAAATCTGTTGACTTGCCCCGAGAACTTGACGGTCTCGGGTAAATGAATCGCTTTTAGCTAGTAGTAAGGGAAAACCGAACCTAGTAACCCAGGCATCTAGATTTAAGAATGCGGGAGACAACATGGAAAAAAATATAGGTCGGGATAGCCCTGACAAGTTTTAGCCGGATCTCTACGGAACTATTGTGGATTGGCCTCGGGAATGTCAACACACATCCATGGTAACAAGGGTAGACATGTTTAGAACAGTAGCCTTAGCGCGCTCTTACACGCGCACAAAAATTAAAAGAAAAAAAAAAATAGAAAGGTTGATTTTTCTCAAATTAATGAGAAGCATCAGGAATTGAGCCCGATGCGGGGGTCGAACCTATCGAAGTGGGTTAGTATGAGGATGACCATCCTAAGAATTTTTTATATTTAGACTTACCCGCAACCTTGAGATTTCTTTTTTCTCTCGTTTTCACGAGAATCTTAAGAGTCTCACGCTCTACCGATTGAGCTAACCGGGCGGACTTTGGTGAAAATTTGTTTGGTTAGGTGGGAAGATATTCAAAGGCGCAAACATGGGTGGATAACCAATGTTATCATATCATATGTATAGATCGCTAGTATTCATAACATAGGTTTCTCTAAGAACCTGGGCGAATTAAGGTGTTTCCGATCATCCAGCTAGACGCTACTCTTCAACTTTCTTCCAGTTGACTGTTCGCACTCTGGGTACAGTCTAGTCACATCTCGGACTGATACTCATGGTGTACAATCTACTGTCGGAATTTTAGAGATGAGGTATAGCTCGTTAATATGATATCCGGGGGTCCTACTAGCCCGAGCAAGACACGGAAGCCACGCTCGGCTACCGATCGGCATATGATTAGCCGGTAGGTATGTGGGTCAAGTCGGAAGGGGTGCCGAAGATATTCGGGGACAACTTATGTAGTTGGAAAGTATGACCGGAATTCGACACCTTAATACAATCAATTTCAACAGGAAAAGCAAGCACTCGAGTATCAAGAACATTATCATACTAAGATCATACGAGAAAATATCTTTTCATTCTCGTAGCAGTAAAGCCCAATAAGGGTATGGCTCTATGTCTTACGTATGATAAAACCTTTGTTATCACACGTACTAACTATGACTAAAGCGAGCCTCTGATGAATTCAATAACTTCTATATTTCGTAACCATGTGTGTGTCTGTGTGTGTGCTGCCCGCTTGCTTATAACGCCAGAATAATCTCAAGCCAAAGTTCAAATATGTCCCTGGCCCTCGAACCGCAATATTTGCCTCTATTACTCCGTCTAATCGCGTTGATATCTCAATAAAAAGAAAGGGAAAAAAAAATCTAAAAAAGGGGATTGAAGAATATGACAAAGGAAAAACATAAAGTATTTAGTGGTGAGTGTGGGTGTTAGACGTCAAAGCACCTGATTTGTCTACGAAGCATGCTGATAATAGCATTATTCGTATCTTAAACAATCACGGCGCCACAAAGCTCAACGCGAAAAAGCAGACATGCTCCGAATCTCAGCGTCCTCCTCTTCGTACTCGGCAAGCTTCTTCCCCGGCAACCGAATAGCCCTGTCCAGCGCGACGGGCAAACCTCTGTGCCGACCTCTTAGCATGACCAAGATCATGATGATCTTGCTTCCCGTGTGCATGCCTCCGCTCAAGCTGTAGCTCTGGTCGGGCAGGCCGATGCTGATGCCGATATTCGTGTAGCCCGAGACGATCTCGAACAGGATGTTGAAGACGCTGTATGAAACCGGGTCGGTGAGCGAGTGGCTCGTCTCGATGAGCGTGATGAGGAAGAGCATCAGCGCGATCCACCACACGTCGTGGCTGAGCTGGCCGCGCACCTGCTGCGAGACTAGGCTGGGCGGTCCGGTGGGCGGGTGGTTGTGCAGAGAGTGCACCGAGGCTCGCCCGAAGTCCATGGTTTTGGCCCGGCTGAGCGGCTTGATCGCTGGTGCGGGCGCGGATGCGGAGACGCCGACGCCTTGGAAAGCCGTCATACGACGCTGGAGCTGGCGGCCTACGAACGCTGTGCCACGTCGACCGGCGGAATAGAGCATCTTGATGGATTTAGTAGTCGGGGCTCGCGAGACTGCGTCCCAGTTCTTGTTGTTTGTCGTGACTGGCTGGAGTCCGGCCTCATCTAGGATGTTGGCAGCATCTTCCTCGACGATACTGCTGCTTGCGGAGTGGAGTTGTTCTTCTTCCGGTTGGTCGCCCTCGTAGATACCTAATGATCGCTCCTCGTAGACGTTGGAGTTTCGCATGGTGATGATGTGAGGATAGGCCGCTGTATAGTACACGACGAGCCAAAGTACTAGAATGTCGAAGTACATGGCTGAAGGTGATACTATGGCATATCCTCCTGAAGGAATTGCTGTTCAATTTGTTA